TCGGGCTCGGTCTTTTTGCCGCGCATTTTATCAATGATGTCTTTTCCAAAGACCATGGTAGTAGTAGTTGATGTTGGAGTTGTAGGAGTTGGATCCTGGGCGGCTAGGTTGTGGCTTAATTGGTGTACCAATCTTTTTATAGCAAAAGGTACTTCAGGGTGTGCTGGAGAAGTAGCTGCCCGAGGTAAGAAGGTGCAAGATGGGGTTTGTCGTGAAAGCTGGAGTCTGAGTTTGTGAATGTTAGTCGGGTGTATAGGGTAATATGTACTGGGATCTTGGTGGGGCACGAGATCATACTTGGCCAGTGACATTGGCTTGAGCACACAACGGGCAAACTAGACAATGAGTATATGAGCAAATGTTTGTTGGCGAGTGTTTGAATTGTGAAACTGTTTGGTGTCAAAGCGATAAAAGTATGCTGTTAACAATGTCGCACGGCGATTCACCGCTTTATCTAGATGACGGCTGCTGATGCGATTAAGCGCTTGGTTTCCAGGCGTCACGCCTCGGGCTGCGCCACACAGTAAGTACTACTGACTACCTGGTGCCTGAGCCAGCGTCTAAAGCGCTTGTATGACTGTTTGGATTTCGCCTACTCCGTGTTTTCAGCGACTCAGCCTACACATAATAGGCATGTGCTATTGCCTTGCAAGAGTATGGATGCTGATGGCCTGACTGTGCTTGAAGGTAGCATCACGACAGCGAGATGACGGCTGATGCCTGAGTTGAAGCACATATGCACAATCAGCGCTGAAACAGTCTCAGCTACATAATGGGGCAAAAGTTCCTTTGATAAACTGAAAAATGCCTGATAAGGTCATAAGGACCATGTTGGTTCGACAAAGTCTCAGAATGGCAGACATGCGAACACTGTGTTCGCGCAATGGAACGCCTGAGGCTGTGCTCCCGTACTACCCATGGAACATGATCTGGGGGAAACAGCCACAAAAGCTCAATTCAGCCATAAGACAGTCATTGAGCATATTAGATTGATCGATGCCTACAGCATCCCTGACGAAAATCTACGCCAAACACTTGGGACACTACCTCTAGACCGGTGCAATTCAATAGAAAGGCAAGTACTAGACGGGTAGTAGCCTAGTCCCCAATCATGTGACAACCCCCATTATTTGGCTCAATGCACAATAAAGCCAGACCTGACCCTCAGATCCACCTTTGGACCTACTTGCATCAACGCCACACTACGAGACAGGGTTGCTCATGAGTGGATTTGGGTGGCGCATATAGCCTCTCAAGACTAGACTCGGCGTTCCATGCCCTCTCGCCTTGTCCTCTGGCGTGGTACCAAAGCCAGCCACCCGACGTCCAGCCATCTGCTTCATAAACTGGACTCTGTAAAAGTCCTTGGGTGGATCGACAATCTGGAAGCAAAGCGAGTTGGAGTCGGTGGTCATACCACAGTCGCACTTGATACCCGTGAACCGGACTGAGACCAGCTCTGCTTGCTCGCCGTGTTCTTTCTGCATCTCGTTGGAGAGCGCGCGGAGGTTGAGGACGGACTTGGAGGCAGCCATTGGCATGCAAGGGGTGCGAGGATAAAGGAGATGATCCATTGACCTTGAGGCCCTCATGTTCTTGAGAGGGTATGCATCGCGCTTGTTGAGGCGTCTGGGGATCGCAGATATTCGTGTCAAGGCTGCTTTCACTGCTGTCTTCTTGTGCGCGTCTTCATGGACCTCTTGCGCTCGCCAGGATTGACCACAGCCATCGCAGAATACGCCGAATCGTACAGCCTTGTTCATGTCCTCTGATAGGTGCACGACTTCTGGCTCGATCATGGGTACGAATTGTTTGATCAAACCTTGTAGTGTACACTTGGAGCAGGATCCGTGCATACAGTCGCAGCTCAGGACATTGATGGGATGCTGGCTATGTGTAACGCTGTAGATATCATGGCTGCTGCCGCATTTGCAACAGCGCCACTTGCCAATAGGACTGGACGGCTTTTCCTCTTCGTCAATAAAAGTAAGGGTGCTTGCTGGTGGTGGGCCTGAGACAAACTCTGCTGGAGTCTCGGTATATTTGGGGCGTCCCCGAAGAGATAGCTGCTGTGTCTTAAAATTTCGCAGTCGACTTGCTGCAATAACGCGACCACGTGCGACACTGCCAGGAATCTTTTGCGTCAGCGGCAGTCCAGCGTACTTGAAACTTCCTTCCATCATATCGACCGGATGCATCAGACCAGCATACCTCTCGTCCTCAGAGCTTCCAGCAGTTGGTTCTTGGGGTTTCAAATCTTCCTCGTCTTTAGTCGGGCGACAAGCGCTTGGAGCCCTCGAAGAGATATTTCTAAAGTCCACTGCAGGATTCTGGCGCTCGTCTTTCTTTTTGTAAAAACCTCGCTTCTTGGGGCGCATAGTCTCTTGACTCGAACGTGGTGGGCTGTCTGAGTTGACACTGCATGCTTGTGAGGGATCCATGATTTCTTGTGTGGCTGCAGGTCTAAGAAGGCCGACCTGTTGCCCCCAGTTGCTAATCAGAGTGCGTTTATGTGCTTTTGTTGATTGAGATACAGTACAGCTGTGCAGTAGTACGGTTGGATATATACAAGGGGATGAGTGTCGAGAAAAAATGGTTAGTGAAGGAGGTTTTTTTGACAATGAGGCGATTGTGAGTTGTCTGGTGAGTGACGCAACATTGTGCGTTTGCGTCTTCACTGCTACTATGCACAGCTCAACTCATCTCACGTGAGCCCCATTGATATGAAATATCCAGCATTAACTCGATTAAACAATTTGCGGATGTAGACATGGTGACAGAATAAGCGATAGAAAAATGGAATGATAGGACGAGTGGAGTTTGCAAAGACAAACCATTTTTTTTCTTTTCTATATCACCAAAGAACATAAAATACGATCTTTTCTATCAAGAATCCCCATGAATGACTACTTGTTCAATATACTGGCATCCTCCATGGCCTCTAATCACCCAGAATCTCGTATTTCCTGTCATGCCCCAATAAGCGGTACTAGAGACCAGACATGGCATCCTACACAGATCTCCGTCGTGCGTCAATCTGGGCATGGCATGCACAACTACAGACGACAAGAGGCTTGTAGTCCTTTGCACGAACGCGGAGCAATTTTAGTGTAGCATCGACAATCGACACGAGCCGCATAGGGCGATCACACTGACAGCAGCAGTGATTTTGCGAGGGCAACGGATGCTCCCAGACGGATTGGTGAGATGATATTTTGCGAAGCATAGTTTTTGGTAGAGTACGATAAGATAGAAATTGAGATATGAGACGTTGGAAAGTGCTGCGAGGAAGCCGCAAGTCTACGGTTACGGTGATGTAAATATACTCACAAAAAGTACAGCAATGTTGTATATCAACGGTCTGTAGCTTGATGATCAAACCATAGTATCAAAGCCGGAATTCTCAAGAGGCTGATGGAATGCGAAAAAAACAAAATCTAACGAAAATGGTGGTGTAACAGTAAAACGGGGAGAACAAGTGCTAGTTGTTTGGAGAATAAGAAAAGGGCAAGCATCAACATTCCGTGTGACTGTACAATGGATTTTCCAAGTGTCTTCACAAGACTCACGACACGCTAAGGTGTTCCACTGGTGCATGGGATGCTTTCAAGTACCAATACAGAAGAGGACTAAGTATGGTACTACTACTCTAGGCCAACACCGAACCATCTCCACAAATAAATACCGGTCCATGAGCTCGCCGCATGCCCCACCTGCTTCTGAACGCGTTGAGGCGCCCATCACATTTCATACCACTATCAATCAATGGCTAGCATGCTTGCTCATAGTTTTGCCAGGTGGCTTGCATTGTTGCTTCTATAATGTCTAATTTCCATGCCCTGAAATGTAATCTGCCAACAGTTTCTCGTGCCAGGCGGGCAGCTTCAACACAATGCCACATCATCCCCCCAGCGAGGGTCTTTGTGCAGCCAGCCGATTCGTATGCATAGTTTGTACAGACTCTTCCAACAAGCATTCCTTTTCCGCATCTTGTCGTGTAGAAAGAGCTTCCCATATTTTTGGATCCACCTCTCCCAACGCATCGTCCCCAACCGTCCTCTCTCCCTCACCAAACGTAGGCTTGAAAACTGTATCATAACTCGTCCACATGCCCGCAAACACCATCGCACTCAGCTTCGCCAGCCACCCGGGGGCGCGCCCCTTCTCATCTGAAAACTTACTCCCCAGCGCAAATACGAACAGCACAAACGGCATCCAAATCCCCAGAAACAGCGCTTTGCCAACCGCCTGTTTCTTGCTCGTAATCCTAAACGGCCGTATCCCGTGTAGATACTCCTGATACTCCCCCGGCAACTCGCACTCGACCGCTCCATCCGTGATCAGCTTGAGATACCTGGCCGACGGCTGCGCATAGCTAGGATCCGGCCTCACAATGCGTTCGTTGTCTTCTTGGGACGCAAACAGCGTGTGAGCTTTAAACGGCTTCGACGTCGGCAACGTGGGAACCGTATCCTCCTTCGGATCCAACACATGGCAATCGACGAGTATGTCCGCGTAGGAGCTTCCGCCACCTTCTGTAGCGATTATGTGCGCGTAGTCTGACAGTGTGACCTCGTATACCACGCCCACGAGTCCCTTGTGCCACGCATCTTTATGGTATCCCTGTGCTTCGAGTGTGCGCCGTGCAGTGTTTGCGAAGCACGGCTCTTTGTAGGGGATTCCGGGTAGGTCGAAGGTTAGGCGTAGCGAGGGGACTACGACGTTGGTTTGTGAGAGGGGCCGGATGCCGCGCGCGCCGCGGAAGGTTTCATTGCAGAGGTTGGAGCCGTAGGCTAGGTACAGGACTGTTTTGGGCTTTTCCGAGGTTGGTGTTGGGGGGTGGGCTAGCAGCGTTGCTATGTCGAGTGGCGCGTCGGGGAGCGATGCGTCAAGACGCGCCTGGCTTGTTCGTGGGATGGGTTCGAATGCGGGCATTGGATGGAGAGTTTGTGGAATGGTATTTCGGATGCTTAGGTATTAAGTATATGTATGTAGGTGCGACTTTGGACGTTGCACTAGCGATTTTGTCCGTATGCTTGAGTTCTCTTCGCTGTTCGGTGTTAGATTCCGGTCCAAGCGCGGAATGTATTACCAATCCGTACGTTCAATCATGACTCTACCACATGAGTGGATCATACAGGCTGCTCCGGGCTGGGTTGCCTGAGAGTATGATGACTCTTTGTCAGCGACTGATAACTGAAATTGCATGACGTAATGCCGTGAGCTGTTACGTCGGGGAAATTATTGTAACACGATATGTCAGGGGACGTGGAAGATATCTTAGACATGACTAGATTTACGACTGACTTGACAACCAAATGTCGTGCCAATGCGTTTATCGGCGTGAGTTCTGGAATACACCCTACTCTCTGCTCGGGTCTACCAATGTGAATTCTAAAATGTAAGAGGCGAGCATCCTGTGTCCGCGGGGCCTTGATCAACGCCAACCGTACTTACTCCAAATGAGAATTTATTTCCATCTTCAAGCCATTCAATGTCTGTTTGCCAACTCTTCACTATTATGAACTAGCTTGTTGGATTGAAATTCATTCAAGTTTACAAACACCCACCTGGATATTCAAGCTCGGACTGATGATTAGCTTTCCATGAAGCCCATTACTATTCCATCACCCTTGCTTTAATTGACAGCTCCAATACTTCACAAAGCACACCTAATAGCCTAAAGAATAAACTCACTCTGTTGGTTGCAATACAGAAATGAGCAGTACTCCAAATGATGCTCAAGGATACACCAGGGAGAAAAAACACCACATCTCACCACCACCCTCTTCTCCCCAACAAAGCACGAAAACAAAGACTTTACGTTTGAAAGTACTCGTCGACTGCCCTATGCACATGACAAAAAAGCGTTTTGTTTCACGATACCCAGTTTTCAAACATCTTTTAGATTCATGGGGCATTAGTTCTCTTTTCTTTCCCTTGCGAAAACAAACTACATAAAACGGGCATGATATTATTTATAGCCTGAACCACCAGTCGAACCAAGCGCGACGCTCAAGATAGAACCGGCAAGGGGTTTGCGCAACGCCACCAAAAAGAAGCAACAAAAGACAAGAACAGCAGTGCCAGGATGTGAAAAACAAAAACAAACAAACATGAGCAGTAAGGACCCTGACAAGGACGATGAAAGAAAAGGGGGGACAGGGAAGGGGGGCGGCTTCGAAACACCGTTTCCGAAACTATGGGGTAAGGGGAATTATTCTTTTCGAACCTCGACTAATACTACTATATCGTCTATGCGCTTGCGTGCGAATGTGAGAGTGCATGCGTACGTGCGGGTTGTACAGCGAAAATAATGCATCTATGAACAGAGAATTGTGGTGGAATGTGCTTCGTATAGATTCAAACAAACATACGCCAGGAGACAGCCTTTTTCCCCATGTTTACTTTGGGCAACAGGAACAAAAAAGAAATAGTATGCTAGGATTCCGGGAGGGAACAAAGGAGAAAATTATCCGCTAAACCGACTCACCATTGGACTGCTTGATCGTCTGTTGTCGTGTTGCTCTTCGTCAAGGGCGAACGCTCGCATCTCGTGCACCCCAACTGAGGCGGGTGCTTTGCCTTTGCCCTTCTCACTAAAGGTGCTGCGCGCGTGGTACATTGTGCTTTCGTCGCTTTGGCGCTGAGCTAGGCCGGTTTCGACATCGCTGCTGTTGGCCTGTTTCTTTTCTTCCTTTTCGTTGGGTATACGACTGGTGAATAAGTCGTCGGGGTAAGGAAACAGGGTGCGCCGGCGTGGAGGCGATTTATTCGTGGCTGTCATCCATACCATGGCCGTCATATCCTTTCCGAGTGCTTCAATCACCGGCGTGACAATGGGAAGACAGGCGAAGAGGACACCATAAGAGGTTACGCCTACAATGACTACGTTGATGCCGTAGCTGAAGCCGCGGTCCGCAAGGAACACCATGAGCCAGGAGCCATAGGACCAAAACACAAGACCGTGAATTAGGTAGATGGTAAAGACGTGGGGAAAGAGTATCAGGAAAGGAGGCGTGGACAAGATCCATTGTACGACTGCAGAGAGCTCGACAACGGCTTGCATGCCACCAGCAAAGAGTAGACCGTTGAGACGCGGCGTATTGTAAGCCGGGTATCCATTTCGTTCAGTGTTGAGAATTGCTTCGCCCGTGGTAGGGTCAGGGTGAACACCTCGCTCCGCAGTGCTGAAGTTAAATCTCGTCTCCACCCATATAGGCACGACGTTGACCATGAAACCCGCAATGACACAGCCCCAGAAGAAGGTTAGTGTCGCGTAGTAGGCGGCAGTCCGTGTAGCCAGGTACGCTTTCCACTTGTAGGTTACGTCGAGGTCGGTAAGCAGCAGACCCAGCCAAAGATATGTACCCCATGACTGAGCATACCAGTGGTTGATGAGGCAGAAAGCGTAGTAGCACATGCGCTTCCATGGTGTCTTGATCTCGTAAACAACAACAGCACCGAGGAGCACAAGCCACGAGCCCTGAAGTTGCACGGCAATGGTCCAGAGTACACCCGTGCAGTAATGCAACGTGATTTGTGGAACAGCATTGGGAACCAGGTAGATGAGCTCCAAAATCTCGGAAATGTACTGACCGAAATTTTGGTAGCGAGTAACGTACGGCCAGGTCGACCAGGTAAGACTGGGGATGTACTGGAGAAATTTGGTTGCACCAACGTCAACGAAGAAGTATTCGAGCAACGCGACTGAGGCTACAGGAATCATAAGACGCGGTGTTCGACGCACAGCTGCTTTGGCAATTTCTTCCATCTTGCCTTTGCGCAGGTAAGGGGCAGTCAGGAAACGAACAGAGGTAGTGAAAAAGACACCAAGCCACATTTGATTGAGCAAGAAGGGACCGATGATTCTTTGTGCCCACGGCTCAGAGGGATTGTGTGCATCCGCACCTGGTTGAACCATGGCAGGGACAAAAGTAAGACCAAAATGCATAATGGTGACGACGAGCGAGCAGAGCGCAGTGAGACCAGCAAGATGATCGATACGGTTGCGTTTTGCTGGGGGCTGCGGACGCATGCGCGGGGCTGGTAGAGCGGACTCGGTAACAGTCTCCATCTGGACCTTGTCTGGGCGCGGTGAAAGTGTGGCCCGTGGGTCAGTTAGCGTGAGCATCGAATCGTGGTGCTTGAGCGAGGTCATTCCAGGAATGGGTGGTGCCAAGTTGGAGACGTCATCTCGACTAGTGTTGAAGTTACTTGCGTAGGGCGTAGTGGCACGACTGTCTGACATGATGGAATTGACACGAGACAGGTCGATTCTGGGTGTGGATCCTCCAAGTGTCGAGCAGCCAGGCTTCGCATCCAGCCTCTCAATGGTCATGTCATCCATAGAACGGTGTTTTGGAGAGGAAGGATCGTGGCCAGATCCGGGACGTGAAAACATATCCGTAGATTCCATAGCAAATGTACATGTACTCTCGGTAAAGGCACCCGCCTCAGTTTCAGGCTTTGGGGATTCCGCTTCTGTGGCTGCTGGGGCTACTGGGGCTGGTTTGGAACTTCTTCTGGTGATCTTGGGCGCTAGACGTCGAATGAATGTGTGGATAAGAAGAAGAGTTGAAATGGCAAGACAGGAAACGGAGATCCAGAGTGCCGGCATGCGCTTGATGTCTTTGTGTCCATCCTGTTTCCAGTGATCTGTAGCTTCTTCCGCATATGGGGTAGAGCCACGCAGTTCAAAGTCGTCCATAGAGCAGGCATCAGTCAAAGGACAGCGTGCAACAAAGTCCTCACGAGAGTCTTCATTCATCGTTGACGAGTTGAAGAACATGCGGATCCAACCAATGTCGGCAACTGACTCTCCATTTCGAGGAGGCCCACGCATCGAAAAACGGTTACCCGTCGACCAATGCTTGAAGAATAAAGCAGAAGGGACTGACGGCATTCCTTTGTTTCTCTTGTGCTCAACAGTGCGGGTCAAATTGCCACCGATATAGAAATTGATGTAGTCTGCCGTCCAGTCGATACGGTACTCAGTAAAGTCCCATGGATTGATGCTGCCATTACTAAGCCCACCACCTAGTGTGGTGTAGTTTCTGTTTGCAGCAGTGCCGTTGATGAGCTGACTGAAGTTCATTCCAAGATTGCGGGTGGTGAACTCGTTGTTGACAAATGTACCGACCCAGGGCTGGGTTAAACGATCATTATTCATGACACTGAGCTCTGTTACCTCAGACTCATTGTATTTCCACATCATGGTGGTAGCTGTGCCCGAGACGTCCAGATATGCAGGCCTCATCAAGGTGCGGAAAGAGCCATGCTGAATATCACGCCTCTTTGTCCGAAGACTGGCACCCTGGACGAGATGTTCTTTTGTTGTAGGCTGCACTACAAGCTCTAGAGACTTGCCATTGTTAAGACGCACATTGTCCGGAGAGGCACCCTCACGGAAGACAGCATTCTAAGGAGGGTTATTAGCCGACGAAGCCATCACTCGTGATATACAAGAAGAGTATCATACCCAGTCCTTGGCATAGTTTTGCTCGAATTCTTCAGCCACGAAATCGAGTGGTAATCCTGATGTTTCATTGAAGTAGACAATGATAGAGTCGGTGTAGAGCTCTTTGGTCTGACTGTCGTAGAACCCGCACGTACAGTTTTCTGCTCCACGCGACACCTCTGCAAAGGCAGGCAGGACTTGCACCAAGGCAAGGCCAAGGAGAGCCGAGGAAAACATGAGGATGACCGGATGACTGAACAAAGGAAGGAGAACGAAACCGCGTGTTCAAATCCAAAAGGCGGTATTTGTCTGTCGTCATGCCGCTAGTCACCCAGGACTAATCAAAGAGACTTAGATCAAACGTGCAACGACGCTTTTCGGACCAGGAGGAGCCGCAGCCACGGCGGGTGCTCCAGTGGATAGCAGAAGGCGGCAAAAGTTCCCCTTTCTGCCACACAGCCTCGACCGGGCCCCTTGAAGTCATCATCGGAGCGGGCTTTCAGCCGTGCGCGATGCAACAAGCCAAAAAGCTCTGCAAAATTTGCTTGGCGGGCCCGCCAAATAGTGAAATCATGGGAAATGTTGTCGCATTGGCCTGAGTAGCTGTCGCAAGAGGCGGAGGGGGTTGTGCAAGGCGTCACCAGTAGACCGGGAGACGTGCACTGCAGCGGGCCGTGCGTCCACGCTAGCACGGGCCTGCCTCCCACTCTGCCTCCATTCTCCCACGTTTGTTGAGATGATCTTGACGACCCGTCATGGCCACCCCCGTCCACATCAGTGATCTTCGCCACCAGCATTATCTCGCCGTGTTCCACCTTGTTCCAGGATAATTAGCGTCCGCCATGCACGCTCTACTGTACTCTAGTCGCTGTTCCCTGCTCCTGTAGGAATGTGTTGTCCGAACTATCTACACTACACCTATTCTAGAGCAGTGACCGATCTTTCAGCTTCCGCATCCTCTGTCGCACCAATATGCCGCATACCCAGATCGATAATCAGCCTAGGTAGAGCAAGCGGAAATGCTCCTCCGCCTAGCCTCCTGGCCCATAGCCCCCCCTCTCGACTTGTCTATTCTGCATGCAAGAAGCATGTTGTAGGTGTGGGCGAGATTGCTACAAAAAAGCATCCCATTGGCTGCTATGCATGAGGAACGCCGGTTCGACGCCCAACTTGGCAAATTTTCCTTGCTGGAGGATGTGAGAAATACTCTACTCGAGCAAAAGCATGGGCCTTTGAGCCTCCCACGGTCGACCCACTTGCATCCCAATGTTAGGATCGGGCATTGCTGATACCACTGCCGATCCTACATCGAGCGGTAAGTTGATGCGGAGACCAGCTCTCCTGAGCGCCATTGCACAGTTCAGGTGAATCCATACGCACAGTGGTCCCTTTTTTGCCTGGACGTTGGCTGTTCGCCACACCCTTTTCTTCCCGCAGTCATCAAACTTGGCCTTTGGAGCCTGATATATCATCTGTGTCCGTCCCTTCGCTCGTTTGAGGTTTGCTACAGTAGTCATACTTTCTTTGATTCGACTCCTTCTCCGATCGTTACTGTCACATCATTCATTCGTTACAAGATGCCTGACAACAAGGATTGCGTAATTGACGTTGGAGACGTCTCCTCTCCTACAAACTGCATCACCGAAAAGCCCGCCCCCAAGAGTAATTGGTCGCCATCCCAAGTTATTGGACAGTCATCTTCGTGGATCTCGGAATGGACGCCCTTCGGCCTTGTCGTCTCCTACTATATTTTCTCCGTCTGCATGTACATGTATTGCAGTGATAGCCTCATAGCTATCTTCTGGTTTATCTACATGTGTACCAACTTCTACATCGCCGGTACCACGGTGCTCGAGGCTTTCTTCAGTATCACGCCCTGTCGCGAGGCAAGGGAAGTGGTTACTCAAGCCCAAGACAGAAAATGGCACTTTCCTACGCCAGACAGCAAACTACCCATCTTGGATCTTCTCATCGTTGCCTATCTGCCCAACGAACAAGACATCATCATGGACCGCGCTTATTACGCGCTCAAGGAGATTGCCTACCCCAGCGATCGAATCCGAATTAATGTACTTTACAACACACCAAAGCCAATCGAGCCGCTGGAGACGGAACTGGCCGAGCTGCCACTGCGCTTCCCTCACGCTAGAGTTATCAAGGTTCCCGGCTCGACATCCAAGGCCGACAATCTTAACTATTTCTTCACGTTAGATACGGGATCAGACCTAATTGCGATCTACGATTGCGACCACTACCCCCACCCCAACGCACCTAGGTGGGCGGCTGAACGATTCATGGCAGAGAAGGACGTGGATATCGTCCAAGGCCGGTGTATCGTATTCAACTCGGAAGACTCATTCATGACCAGCATGATATCCGTAGAATTTGACAAGATCTACGCAGTATCGCACCCTGGTCGTTCGACAATGTGGGGCTTCGGACTGTTCTGCGGATCGAATGGTTATTGGCGCACGTCTCTCCTTCGCGATCTCAAAATGGACGAGAGCATGCTAACCGAGGACATCGATTCGGCGTTGCGGGCATTCTCCAAGGGCGCTAAGACGGTTCATGATCTCAATGTTACTTCATATGAGCTGGCCCCTACAACCTTTGCCGCCTTTTGGAAGCAGCGACTCCGATGGGCTCAGGGATGGGCTCAGGCCAGCATGCGTCACATGAAGATGGTTTGGAACGGCGTCAAGGATCCCTTACACGAGGAACATGCCAAGCGGAGCTTCACAGCCCGGTTTGGTATGCTATCGCTGCTGCTCATCCGCGAGTCATCTTACTATCTCGTTACACAATACACTTGTCTTGTGGCATCGTTCGTTATCGTCAAGTTCCCGACCAACGGGGAGGAGCTGTGGAAGTTGGTCTATTTCCAGTACCCTATCTCACAGTGGCTTTTCATTATTAGGTTCGTGTCACCGGTGCAATCGTTTAGATCCTTGACCTCGCTAACGTCCGATCACAGTGTTATTTGCTTGATTGCTACCCTCTGGATCACCAACCAGGTCAAGTCCGAGTTTGTGTCAAGGAAGATGATCATTCTCTTCTCCGTCTTGTACCCATTTTACCTTGTTCTCAGTGCGACTATTGGTCTGTATGGCCATGCGCGCCAGCTTGTCAAGTACAGCTCTTGGAACCCAACAGCCAGGAAATAGCCTGGCAGTCTGGACCTTCCACCTTAATGATTATGTGCATATCGTCCCTCAATGGGCTGAAGAGACCCGCCCTCTCTTTTCTTTTCTTAGGTATAAATAGTTACGCGGCTTGAGTAGAGACAAGGGCAATATTGGCCCTCAAACATATTTCCATAATATCAAAAATACTTCTTTTTTTCCGCCTTGTACAGCCCTCCGCGTTCGCTATTCGTTGTTTGTGTTGATGAGGTGCAAAGACGGACAGCGTCTCCTGAACCATTCGATTGGGTCTCTCAACATCGCGATGCATTCGAGTGGAGATATTGTCGGGCGTTTGACATGTCAGCCAATATGACTCGGCATGTTGTGTTATCTCGTCACCACTCGAGAGTATGCACGGCGACGGCAATAGAGGTGGCGCTATGGGGGGTTGCAGAGAATTCCCATTTCACAAATCTTCGCTGGTCGGCGAGGGTGAACTCGACTCATTCAGAGATGAAGATCACCCCGTTCGGTCAAAGATTGGCAGCGGACACATATCGCAGCTCCACTGTGCCTGACCGCTTCCCTGTAAGCGGGCCAGTGCAAGGCTGTAAGAGTGACTTGAGGAAATCTTCGGGAGATTACATGAATGACACGCGGCCGATCGACACAGCCGAGCATGTGCTCGGCCCCCACTCCGGGCGCATTAGTGCAACGTGTGGGATGAACATCGCCAGGTGGTGTTTGTGGCTGGCGGCTGACATTGGCGGGCCGCAAGCTTAAAGTCGAGCTCGGACACAGCGTCCTTTCCAGGGCGCCAAAACAAATGTGGAATGTATCCAGCCACCCCTGGGAACTTTACTTTTCAGCCTCACCTTGGTGAGTTAGGTTGTTTATTGTCCTTCAGAACCAGCGGCAGTCTTGGCACTCCGCGCCTTGCTCTTCCTTCTCCTCCACCCTGATACCACCCTTGTCGAGTGGGGGTTGCGGAGGCGCTGTGGGCACCTGAGGAGGCGCTGGCATATGTCAGGGCAATGCCGGCGATATGGACTTTGTTTTCTCGTCGTTTTGTGCCACTCAGACTTTTTTTGCAGAAGATGCTCCTCCGTCTTGGTCGAGATATCTGTCGTGTCTTTTCCACCGACGTCACGACTTCATTTCAGAGGAACGATAAGACAACGACGCGCAGGCAAGTCATGCAAAGATGGAAACCTTGTCGCATTCCTTGAACCGAAATTCCGGTATGCGGTATGCTTCAGCTAGCAGGTTTTTTTTTAGCTGAATCGCTGTTGCCGACCAAAGATTGCGTGGACAGATTCTTTCGCGCCGTTCTTGTTCAATCCACTAAACGTATGTAACGCTGCAACGCTTATCCACAGTTTTCCTTTCACCAACTCAAAAGGCCAAGACGCTACAGTGGGATAAGTCAGTGACATGCACATGCGTAGCTTCCTGCCATGCATTCTCTGTGGGAACACGTCCTGTAGCTAAATCTAACCAGTTGAGGCTGGCAGTTGTGCACTTGGGGAGCGAGGCAATACGCCAGAAAAGGAGGATCTCCCGAGCTACATTAGTCTTTGTTTTTTTTTCTCGGCGAGCCAAGACGTTGATCTCGGGTCTCCCCCGGGGGGGATTGACCTAAGGGCATGCAAGTTTCGTGTTATCGGGAGGACGTGTTTTACAGAGACTGTGCGGGCGCCCTTGATTGGAAAGTGGCTGTGACGTCTTGAGACGAAGGGCGGTGACCATTTTTTTGAGGACTCCTGTTCGAAGTATCCTTTTCCTAATATTAGGTCTTTTACTCGACTGGCAGTACAGCATCAACGCCCTTTTTTTCCCCCATTATGAAGTCCGGACTTCTATCCTCTCCTTTGACCATGTTTGCGTCATCGTCGAGTCCGTATGCGACTGGCATCGCCATGAACCAGAACTACCTCATTGGGCTCAGAGGTTTGTTTGTGGTTCAATCGTTTCTCTTTGTCTTCTTCCAGACTTTCCTTCCAGCAGCCGTCCCCGACTCAAAAAATGTCGACGGACCTTCCTACCAGATTGGACTCCGCAAGTCGTTTTCGGTCATCTTCTGTAACCCGTCCTTGATTTATGGATGGATCATCTTCCTTTCCGCAAGAACAATATGCCTGCCATATCTCGCTAACAAGACGCGGGAGGTGGGCGCATCCAGTGTCTTTCGTCGCGGCGTCAGACTATGGATTCCAACCTTTGTTGCCTACTCCATTGCAGCAGCCGCCTTCAGTACTACATCTACTGATTACATTTCTGATTTCATGGAGTCTACCGGAAACATCTCGACGGGCGTTCCAATGCGCATTCGCAACTTTCTAGTGTACTTCAACTCCATGTTTGAGATTTTCTGGATCAACAAGCAATACAGTAACCAGGCTGCCAACAACATCTTTCCTTCTGGCACTCTCTGGATCGTCTCTGTGCTCTTTCAGCAAAGCTATACTGTCTACATGACCATGGTCATTGTACCCAACACTCGCATGTCCTGGCGTGTCAAGGCTATGCTTGCCTTTATCGTCACTGGATTCTGGGTACAGAGCTGGGCGTGGTATAGCATTACTGGACTTCTCATTGCCGACGCTGTGCTCAACATGAACTTCGCCGTGCGTTCGCAGCGAGGTTTCAGCTTGGGCAAGTCCACAATCCCCTTTTGGCCAATCTACGCACTTATGGTCTTCGTTGGAGTCTTTTTGCACTTTTTGTTCATTTCATGGAGAGCGGATCTGCGCAATGACGAAATCTACAGCCACACTGGCATCTACACGGGGGGTTTGCTCAACGAGAACGTGGATCTTGACCTGCCCATGGCCCGCATCGACAACTATCTTATTATTCTGGGGTGCACACTCTTGATCGAGACTTTTGAAATGCCCCGTAGCATACTGTCCGGCAGCTTTTTCGTCGCCCTCGGCAGGAGGAGCTTCAGTAAGTGCACTCTTTTTTTCACAGCCAGCTCCAGACAGCTACTTACAAGACGCAGGCTTCTTCCTGGTCCAATCCATCATCATCTACACCGTCGGTATCAAGACCTACCAACACATGGCTGCATCAGGGACCGCCAATGGCGTAAATGGACTGGTGTGCTTTCTAGTGTGCGCACCCCTTGTCACAGTCCTAGCAGAGCTCTTCTACCGCATCGTCGATCTGCCGAGCATTGTGGCCGCCAGGGGCTTTTGGGCGTTCATGACGCAATGAAACAAGCGTCCAGGCGTCATTTACAAGTACCGACAAGGCCTCAGCCAGTTCAGCCCAAATCTAGCTAGTTACAGTTGTGTTGACTCGCTTACCAACCTTGCTCTCTTTTCTCCAACACCACGCTTATCCCCCTGCGGAGGCGTTCTTACCTTGTACATCCCCCCCTCCCCCTCCCCATTTACAAAAAAGATATCCTATTTCATGTAGGATTCGGTGCGGAGCACCCAAACTACTGTTTGCTGTCCTTTCTTTGGCATGTCTTTTCAGAGGGATTAACCTTACTTTTACCCCCCGCAATCACCTTGTCGATCTTTTGAATCCTTCTTCCCCGCACTGTGGGGGGAAGACACAATGGGAGGGGAAGTAGCCTATCAGTTGTTGGATCAAAATAAAAGGATCTAGAATATACATTAATACCCTTTGTCTCCTTTTCGATACGCTTTCGTTTTGGGATTCTAGACGCTGTAAATTTCAATCTATCTTTTGTCGCAACCCGCTTTTGTTCCAAGTGTTTGGGCCCATCACTATCAATCGCCTTGGGATTGTGTTTCCTCAACCTATAAGTTACGGTAGATGAAAAAAAAGAATAAATCATGAGTGTAGTCAACATGGAAAAACCGCATACTCCAGAACCCACGCAAATCGAAAAAGCCACCACCACGCCCGATGATTTCAATGCCGCCCTTGACAAGCGTCTCAATCGCAAATTCGACCTCCGCATTCTTCCCTGGCTCTTCGGAATATGGTACAAAGCAAACCCCATAGTCTCTTTTCTACACTTCCCCCCCCTTTCCTTATTCTCTTATCATTTCATACGTATCTAACTCGACAAGGCTCTTCTCCTTCATCGACCGCAGCAATATCGGCAACGCCCGCATAGCCGGCCTCACCACCTCCCTCTCCATCACAACAGGCACACGCTTCAATATCGCCCTCCTTGTCTTCTACATCCCCTACATCCTCGTCGACGTGCCTTCGAACTTGCTTGTCAAGCGGCTGCGCGCCGGCATCTACTTGCCCACCTTGATAACCGCCTGGGGTCTGGTATGCACGATGATGGGGTTCGTGACGAACTTTGCGGGGCTTGTGGCGTGTAGGCTGTTGCTGGGGTTGTTCGAGGGAGGAATTCTGGGGGGCGTGATCATTTATCTTGCCATGTTTTATCGGAGGGGGGAGATGTTGCTCAGGAGTGGGTTGTTTTATTGTGCTGCGCCGCTGTCGGGGGCGTTTGGGGGGTTATTGGCGAGTGGGTTGGCGAGGATACGGGTGGGGGGTTACGAGAGGTGGCCGTGGATATTCTTTAGTAAGACTCTGTCCCTTTTTTTCATTCATGTCTCAAAGTAATGGTTGGAATTGGATTTGGAAGTGCTGACGAGATGGCTAGTTGAGGGCGCGGCGACAGTCGTCTTTGGCATTGTGTGCTTCTTCTTCATGCCGGATACTCCTGCTGCAGCGCATTTTCTTACAGATGAAGAGAAAGAGTGGGCGCTGCGTCGTATGCGTATCGATGCAGGCGGATCTACCGATGTTGATGTGGATGATGAGGAATTTAGTTGGTACTGGGTCAAGATGGCGCTTCTAGCTCCACAAACATATCTCTCTGCTTTCATTTGGTTCTTTCTTCTAGTCCCCTTATACGTAAGTACCATGCCATAATACCACCCGTTCTCACTCAGCAAAGATGTGGGCGATACTGATGTACCCCAGAGTTTCTCGTTGTTCCTCCCGAGCATTATAGCGGGAATGGGATATCAAAGTACAACAGCACAGCTCTTTACCGTGCCTCCGAACATGGCCGCTTTTCTCACAGTCATTGGCACAGCGTATGCCTCCGATCGATTTAAAAACAGGGGCTACTTCATTATCGGAGGTTGTGTTCTGGGTATATGTGGGTATGTGATGTTGATTGTGGCAAAGACAAACGCAGTGCGGTATGCCGGGACCTTTTTGGTTGCTATTGGTGTCTTCCAGGGCTCACCTATGCTCATGGTAAGCTTCCTTCTCGTTCCGTCTACCGTAATGTAGCTGATTGATGATAAGGGTTGGGCTTCAAATAACCTCGCTCCACACTATGTGCGAGCTGTCGGCATTGGGCTTATCATCTCCATTGCAAACTGCTCGGCATTCATTGGAACATTCATATATTTACAGCACGACGCTCCGAGATACATTCTAGGATATTCGGTTAGTCTCGGGGCGCTGGTGATTACAATCGTCCTGGCAGCTATGCAGTGTCTTTATCTTAGCTGGGAGAACAAGAAGCGAAGAAATGGTAAGAGGGATGGCAGGATGCTGCAAAGCGATGCCGGCCGACTTGGACATGGACACCCAAGCTTCAGATTTACGCTCTGATTGCAACTTCTAATAGGGCTGGTAGTGTTTTGCGCGAGAAGAAATGCAAACCATTTTGCTCTAACAAATTCTGCTCGTTCACCAGAGCCATGGCAAGATGCCGGGAATTTCCATGGCTCAGGCAGCAGCCAGAGCAGCCGCGGCGGCGGGCAAAATTGGGCCCTTCTCCAGCACTGCTTACGGGCCGTAACTGTAACGTTGGATATCGTTAGCTGGCAACAGCTGTCGACTGGTGTCGCTCGTCCTTGATGCTTTCCTGGCTGTTAACCTTGCCGGCAGCAATCAGATGGATGTGGCTAGTGGGCGACAGGGGGCTGGCGGGCGACACCAATCGACAGCCGTCGCTGTGCAGGGGGGGTTATGCGACGGCTGTCGATTGGTGTCGCTCTTCCTCCCTGTCACTCACCAGCCACAATCACGTGCACTCCATCTTCTTGCATGTCGCACTCTCGCTCACATCAATTCACCTTCTTATCTTTTCCTACAGCCACCCCCCTCTGCGTCGTACTAGTCTTCTTCCACGGTTTCAAGCTTCCGCCGCCAACTGCCCACCCAATCGCCATAACAAATAGCGTGAACGGGATCGCAGTCAAAAAGTACCATCCATATGTCGCCTTCAGCGCCGAAACACTCTCGTTCATGCTGTACAAGCCCGCGACAAATGTCAGTGGGATGAACACCGTCGCCAGCCAAGTGATGCGCGCCATGTCGTGACTCTCCTTGAGTCCGCGCCGCGAGTCCTCGATGGAAATCTCCGATGTGACGATGCTCGTGAGACGATCGACTCGTTCCTGGAGTTCATTAACGGCGCCAAGGACGCGTCGGAAATCAGGCACAATGTCTTCGAAGCCGTCGATGTTGTCAAAGTTAATGACTACGTTGTCCGGTATCACCGATCGGGCCGTGTAGGAAATAGGCGAGGATGGTGCGGTTGCGGGCCGCGGCGACGTTGAGGTCAGTCGTGCTGCGGCTGGAAGCGCGTGCTCCAGTGTCTCTGCTACCATATCTCGGAAGACTGGTATGTGGCGGCGCCATGTATGTAGACGGTTCAGTGAGTCGTCAATGGCGTCGCCTTTGGAGCGGAAAAGATGCGGCTTTTCCAGCTCCCATTCTATCTGGCTCAGGCGTGTTTTCACGTAGTCGCATACTATGAGCCACTCTGCACAGATGGTGTAGATGGTCGGTTTGGCAAGGACTTGGGCGTTTATTTCGTGGCCTTCTGATCGTTCAAACCATGGGAAAGCGGTTGTCATCTGCACAATATCTTCGAACCACGAGACAGATGATTTTATCGATGGATATATCTCTGTTTCCATCTTTGGGGTTGGTAGCCAGTTACTGCGGTCATACCCTGTTGAGGTTAGCTTGGACTTGCAACAGTTGTGTGTACCAGATGTGCTGAGCCGTGGCGGAAAGAAACACTTACACAGTGGCCGCCCTTGACTGACTGTTGGATCCAGTAACACGATACCAACTGTTCCATATCCACACTGCTTGTCTTTACCGATCCACATGCTAGTACGTGTACGCATAATGGACACTACTGCGCCTTCTTCGTCCAAATAATGCCAGTGATTCTCATCATTGTCGGGACGACGGAGCACATTCCAACTGTTAGCCTCTAGTCTTGACTGTTGAAAGTCCTCGATTGTCCTGTGGTATCGTAACCGCATGTTCCGCATTCTAAACCACTGGCGGTGCTTCATGCTAGAAACAAGGGCAGGCGGTGCTGCCCATGGGTCTCGAGTATTGTACCATACATAGTCGGCGATCTGTTCACGGAAAAACAGCGGATCAATATCAAAGCGCCGTCCCAGAAGTTCTATGACCTGCTGAGAAAGGTCTTCTACAACGAACAACCGAAGAGGAGCCTCCTTCGAGGGCTCATGTGATAGCGATTCAAGAGTCTCACGAAGTGCCAAATGTGTCTTGATCGGGCTTGCTTTGGGTTTAGAGGCGGGCCTGTACTCGATAAACGTGATATTTGTCTTGTTTGCACGCTGTTCACGCTCTCCAGGGTTCTTTTTGATTTCGTTCCATCGTAGTGGCGTTGTACCGACCTGCATCCAATCGGCCAAGTGGCGGAGCGTCTTCCATGATGTTGACAACGACTTGATATGAGCCAAGTACGGCAACCTTTCACTTCTTCTGTGAGAATTTAATATTCCCCTCGATATTACAGCGTGGTTTTTAACTTACGGGTCATGGATTTCCCACTCAGCCGCTATTGTCGCTTTTGGCTCGTATGCGTCTCCGATCAATTCGTACGGATCTGGAAACTCCGCACTATGGGGAATGTATTTCGCAGACCACAGCGCAGGTATTGTGTCTTTCTTCAGTGGTGCTGTGTCGCTCTTTGCATAGTCGGAAGACATGACAGCTACTGGGGCCTGCCAAGGCAAGTGTGAGGAAGGGATGTAAATCTCCAAAAATAATGACCGAATGTGCAGGGAAGGGTGGCACGAGGTCTATAAAGGCGCAAGGCGGATTTACGGCGTTTTTGGGGCCAAAAACTGGAGAAGGCTGAGGCTGAGACTTAAGCGCGGCGATCTTAAGGTGGCGTGTGGGAACAACTCGGGACGTTCACCGCCAAACGCGCGCCTAAATGTACACCTCAGGAGCTAGGATACGTATTGGCTTCTTGCATACACATGACATCTGATGAGAGTTTTCCAGGCATGTCTGCGCATTGGCTAATGGCAGCGCCAATGCTTGATCAGGCCAAGTATAAGGAGGTGTCAGCTCAAACCAACAAGAACCGATGCAGGGTGTACGTATGCATGTTTTTAGGCCACCTGCAGCAAGTGTAGGCAACACAGCAGATGTGAACATGTTTGGAGCCGCATGAACACTGGCGGCAAACCAGACTTGATGACCAATCAAAAGATTTCGTAATGGCTTTGGGATTGTGTCCGCACGCACACATTGTACGCCAAACGTGGGATTAACGTTGGGATGGTGTTCAGCCCGTTCCCCTCGGGTCGCACCGACGTTCATCATTAAATCGTACCGATTCGTGTTTTCCTTATATATTTCTGGTCAGTCCGTGTTTCCAAAGCCAGCAGCCAAAATCAATCTAACTTCTCGTAGTGTTGAATTGGGCTTTCGAAGTAAAAAGCAAGATGCCTAGGCTCCCCCCGCACGACACGACGATCATCCGTGGGGAGAAAGGCGGGGTGTGCTTCACCTCGGAAGTTCAATGTGGAAGTGTTTTACCTGCCTGTACTTATGCATATTTCCAAAGGTCTCAAATAGATCCTAGAAGCCTTCTGCCCACCGAACTATCTAGTCTGTCCTCGTTTTAACATGACACACAATATCTTCAAGCCGCATTGGTCCAGGTTCCTAGGCCCCGAGTCCCCAGATCCTTGTGAATTCAAATACAGACCTACTGACGAATCGATATTCACGTCTCCATACGGTCCCTTTCCGCCTACACCGGATGACCTCAACATCCACGAACTTTGCTTCCCGCCGAACAATCCACTGCCCGAAGACTATCCTCTCATCATCAATGCAGTTACGGAAGAAGCCGTTACTCTTCACAGCTTCTATGCTCGAGTCTGCGCACTCGCACGTGTTTTGCGCCATGATGGACCAAATCCACTAGGCTTAGGTAAAAGCCCTGTCGACGACACCGAAGAGGGCGAGATTCTAGCATTATTCTCACGGAATCATATCCATTACCCAATGGTAGCACATGCATGTTTCCGGTCGCAATTAGTGTTTGGCGGCATCAGCCCAGCAAGTACTCCGTACGAGCTATGGTGGGTACTCAGGAAGATGCAAATAACAAGTATCATGTGCCACGAAACACTACTCCCAGTTCTGAAAGAAGCAATCAAACTAGGATCCGGAGATGGCGATAATCTCCCCTTGAAACTTAAACTAAACCCCGCAAAGATCATTGTACTGAGCGACAACCCGAAACTCGATACCATATCCGGATACCGCACAATAGAGTCACTTGTACGAGAAGGCTCCCAGCTCCCCGAACACCCACGCAAACTCCACGGCGGAAAACGAATGGCCTACCTCTTCCAATCCTCCGGCACATCCGGTCTCCCAAAGGCAATGATGATAACCCACACCAACGGCCTGCACTCGGGCCTCCAGTCCCTCATCACCTCCGTCCAAACCGCCCGCTTCACTGGCAAGCCGCCCCTAACCCCCGTCACAACCCTCGGCGTAATCCCCATGTACCACTCGTACGGCATGATCGTCTGGATCCTGCGCATCAACCTGCTCCAAAACACAATCATCATGCTTCCCAAATGGGACCTGCGCCTCGCCCTGCAAAGCATCCAAAGGCACAGAATAACGCATTTGCATCTAGTGCCCCCACTCGTCCGCCAGCTCGCCCAGAGCCCCTTGACGCAAGAGTACGATTTGAGCTCCGTAGTCAGTGCGGGCAGCGGCGCTGCATATCTCCCACCAGACGTGGCGTACCAGCTCGCTAAGAAACTGCCGCAAGGAGCTGCCACGCCGATTCCCAGCGGGTACGGACTCAGCGAGGCAGCCAGCATCGCTAGTCCGGCTGTCTCCGGTATTTTCGGACTGGAGCCTGCGTTGCCGGGCACGATTGGGTACTTACTACCCGGCATGTCTGCGCGAGTTGTCGATCCAGACACTTTGAAAGATGTAGCCAGCGGCGACAAGGGCGAGCTCTGGGCTCGAGGCGCGGTCGTGACGCCGGGGTACTTTAAAGATGCCAAGGCGACGACTGAGCTGTTTGCGGAGCCTGGGTGGCTGCGGACGGGAGATTTGGTGATGCGGGATGAGTGGGATCGGATTCATTATCTTGATCGGATCAAGGAGATGATTAAGGTGAAGGGGTTGCAGGTTGCGGCGACCGAGGTGGAGGATACGCTGCTGGATCATCCCGAGGGTCTTGTAAGGGATGCGTGCGTTGCGGGTGTCGATAATGGGAGGGGTGATGGGTCGTTGTTTGCTCGTGCGTGGATTGTTCTTACGGCGGAGGGCTTGAAGAAAGGGGAGGAAGAGGTAGCGAGGAAGTTGCATGAATGGGTTCAAGAGCGGTTGAGTCGGCATAAGTGGTTAACTGGTGGGATTGAGGTGGTTGATTCGGTATGTCTTTGGCTCAAGAAGGAAGTGTTGTTGCTAATATTGTGTTCAGATACCTAGGACGCCATCGGGTAAGATGCTGAGACGAGAGATGAGGGATCGGTATCATGAACGGATGAAGAGCAGTGGCAGGGCTAAGCTATAGTTCAGAACATTGGTATACATTGGTGAATCTAGCACTCAATACCTCAAGCATCACCTTCAACTCTCAGATTTTCATACAATAAAATCCCCGCAAGACCTCCATTCCATCTTGTGGCGTCCGGGGCAACCGACAGTACCATATCCCAACCCCAGATCTCCTTCACTGTTCCTTCTTGATAACTTTCTTCCCCTTCTTCTTTTTCTTCTTACTCTTCCTCTTCTCACCAGACACAGCCTCATCCTTCTGCACCATCTCAGCACCCTCATCACTCTCCGGAAACCCCTCCCAAATCTCATCCTCAACCTCCAAGCTCTCCTGCTTCTCCATCTCCGCAAGTCTGGCCGCCAACTCCATATTCTCCTTGACCAGCACCAGATCCCTCCTCTTCCTATCCCTCGCCCTCCTCTTTAAATTCCTAGCCTTCCTCTTCTCCACCTCACCATCTTTACCCTCCCCGCCCTTCACTCCCTTCGCAGCCTTTTTCAACCTCTCAACCTCTTCCTTGAACTTCTTCGCCTCATCCATCAACCCGTCATTCTCATGCTCCACCGAACTAAGCTTCCATATCAGCTCCTCTTTGTCCTCCTCAAGCATCTTGATATAACCCAGCTGATTCTTCTCCTCTTCTACCCGGTACCTATGCATCTCCCTCCTCAACCCCTCTGCCACCGACCTCACCATAATCAACTCCTCCTCCATCCTGCCATTACACTCCCTCAACAACTGCATCTCCGTCTTGGCACTTTCATCCAGCTCCTGCGCTTTGGCTTTCCACATGGTGATTTCCTTGCGGAGAAGCGACTCTTGGGCCGATGGCGCGATGCTGGTTTTTTGCTTGACGGCGTCTTGGAGCTGGGCAATGTAGTCTTGAGTGTGCTTCTTTTCTTGTTGGAGAAGGACTTCGTGCCGGTCTAGTGAGGCTTTGCCCAGGGCTTGTTCGAGCGCGTGCCGCGTGGCGGGCATGAAGGTGTGGTCTTCTGGGGGCGCAAGAGGCGTTGAGGAGAGACGGGGGCGTGCTGATCTGGGAGTCGCATTGTTCTTTGGTCGGGCGACTAGAGATTGGGATGGGGGAGTCTGCTGTGCGACGTCTTTTGGCGATGATGGTTTGTGTGGCGACTGAGGAGCTTCACTCTGGGCTGATTGGCTTTCTGGCTGGGAGAAGATGATATCATTCATTGTGTCTGAGGACGGGGCCAGAGACAGTGTCTGGCTGGGTCGGTTTGCCATGTTTACAGTGTAAAGTAGTTATCTGTCAAAGTTGAAGATTGCTGTCGAGTGGTTTTGAAGAGGGTGACACCTTAGGAAATGTGCTATGAATGCAGTGGAGTGAATGTGAACGCTCTCATGATGAGCGGGTCAGCGTAAGATTTCGAAATGGGGGTGAATGTGAAAGTGAACCTGCCTCTTGTTCAGTGTAGCGCCATTGAAGAGTAGTTTCAACACAAACAGTATAAGTTGCCCAAATGGAAAGTGTCAGGGGCTCATGAATGAAGAGTAACGTCACAACCCTCAAACCAACCTGACCAGCGAGGACATCCGCAGAGACCCTCCTGAAGGTCAATCACAAGGATCCAATGGGCCAGAAAATTATGTCTTATTCGTAACTCTTTCGCTTATCCAGACATCAAACACCATAAAAAATGCTGCGTAATGGAACTCTTCTATTTCTTCTTGAACAATCCCTTTCCAAGCAGATTCTTGAGCTTGCTTTCCTTCTCCTCGTTGCTCATGTTTGCTTTCCTCTTGCCCTCAGCTACAGACCCTCCTTGGGATTGATTTGATTGCGGCTGGACCGGGTCTTCGCGCGCGGGCTCCTCAACTTTCAACGTCTGAGCTTTTGCCTGCCACTCCGACGCAAGTACATGCCGACTCGCCCTTGCCTCTGCGCTCGCATTTTCGGCCCATTGGAATGTGACGAGTTCGTTGTTGAAGAAACGCAGATCCTGTACCAGCCGCTTGTCGTCTCGTGGGATTAGAACTAAACGGCCTGTTGGGCCTGTGTTCTTGAGTTGGAAGGGCTCATTCTTCTTCTCTAAGAAATCGCGAACAAAGTCGTAGAGACCAGCTGCAGTGTCGTTCTTGTTAAAAGACATCTGAACAAGCGCACCATCGGGCATGCGTATCCGCAATGAACCGCCCTTCTCAGCTGCAGCAGCAATCTTGGCCTGTCTCTCTTTTTCTTGCTCTTCGAGTTCCTTGTCAGAGAGTAGGCGAGTATTCTTAGTCTTATTTAGGAGCGCATTTTGGTGCGCTTTTGCGTGTTCGATGGTCGGAAGGTAGTCGCTCTCGTTGAAGGCATTTCGTGCTGCTTGTGGAGTCGACGAAGTTGGTGCAGAGAAGATTTGGACATTGCGAGACTTTTCGGCCGGCTGCGATGTATCCTGGGCAGTTTGTGACAAAGGCTGAGAGGGCGGTGCTGGCACGGATGGAGCTGTTGACGTTGCTGCCGCTAGGGCTGCAGCTGGAGAGGTGTTTTCGATGCTCTCTGCTGCGTATTTCTCTGTCGATACCTCCTGTTCCTGTGCAGGCTGAGCTGCAGTTTTCGGCTCAACATCCATCGGCTCTGGGTCAGGCTCGTCATTGTGCACAGTCTCACCAGCGACAGTTTCTGTTGCCTCAGGAGCGGCTTGAGCCGGGTCCGGTATCGAGGCTAATTGACTGGTTGTTGAAGCATGTGCCCCCTCTGCTCCAGTGGAAGGCTCGCTAGGCTTAAAATACTGCGAAATTTGCGCCATAGCTTCTTCTAGCGGAGTGCCACTATTTCTGTACGACAGTTTCAGCAGAGCTGATCCGCTGTCGAAACCTAACTGGCTGAGCGTCTGTTGTAGCTCGACAAAACTCGATTGCTCTTTGTGACCAGGCATGACGGTAATGACGGGCTGCTCATAATGTAACCTTCCGGCACCGGATGCACCACTCATCTCAGGAATACCGCGCTGGGTAAAGTTGTAGTTGGTCCCTGGGCTACTCTCGAAATGGCGCAGAATCTCCCATAACGACGTGTTACTCGCGAACTTGTTGGTAAGACGTACATTCTTCTCGCTCGCTGGCAGCTGGAGCGCTACGGATATGACAGTGGGTGATCGTGATGCTTGTACAAGCTCTAACCGGGCACCCTGGGGGAGGTTCGCAAGGCGTATCTGCTGGGAGAGTGATATAGGCTTGTTGTTGTATCTGCAGACATTTTAGTGGTAGGATTTGTGTAGAGCACGGTGTGCCTTACTTTAATGTAAACTGATCCTTGTTGACACCAAACTTCTGGCACGCCTCATCCCGCACCTCGGTCAGATACTTTGTAGGCGTAGTGGGAATCTTGAATGACCTCGCGTACGAGTTGAATACCACGACGTGCGACATTACGGGCGAAGCAGCCTATAGAAGTTGTGTGCGAGAAGGAAAGCAGTGGGTGCGTTGGCAAGAAAGATGGCACGCAAGTACCAGCAATCCCAGCGATGCGCTCTTCGGGCAGAGTCACTTCGTTCGACGAGGAGCAAGAGGGTAGCGAGGTGGAGGAGCTTTGCTTCGGCGAAACTTAGGAAGAGATCGTTTGGGCCTGCCATGCAGAGGCAATTAGGGTCTGAATGCACGCAATGCTGGGGACGGTGAACGCCAGGAGGGGCGCTTACCAATCCCGTGTACGTGTGTGGTTATCTGGAGGCTGTTGGTGCTTCCCCGTAGCGACGTGGTACAAGGCACCGTTTGCTTCTGGAAGATGGCGAGGGTGTTGATTTGGAAGCGCGTGCTGCTGGCAGTGATGTAAAGTGCTGCGGCACAGTATGGATCGATGTGGAAGGGGACTCGGTAGCACCAAATCAAAGAGCCAAGTGTCTTGAGTAATCAATAAGACGGGATCCGGCTCTCAATTTGCGGTTGTAAGCAAAGAGTGAGGTGTTCTGGAAGCTTCGTTGTCTTGCCGCGTGGTGTATCGGTGCCTGACTACTGACTGCCATCTACGTTCGGTGATCGTCGGTGACGGAAGAGCGACACCCCGCCCCCACTAAAACTCAAGACCGTTGCTTGTCGCGCCTTCCCTCGACGGACAGCAACAACGGCAACAGATTCCATCAATCTCCCTCGTAGAACCCACAAAAATGTCTGGAACTGTTGAAATCAAGTCGCCCGCTCAGCTGAGCTCGCTACTGTCGTCTTCGCGCGTTGTAGTAGTCAATTGTAAGAAGCCGCTGTCGCCGCCGCCGCCGCGACATGCGTCCAAAGACACCACCTTGCCCTGTTTTTGCTAACATTTGCCCCCTACAGTCTACAATGAACAAAACCTATCAAGCCAAACCATCGCGCCCGTATACGATCAGCTAGCTAGCCAGCTTTCAAGACCAGGAAAAGTCACCTTCACCAAAGTCAGCACAGTGCAGCAAGCACAGATTGCCCAGAGCTACAATGTCACAAAGTATGCACATAACACATTGCACGAATACACATGACACGGGATATCTAACCAAGTCGCTTATTAGTACTCCCACATTCATCATTTACAAGAACAACCAGCAAATACGCAAGTACTCGGGCTCGAATCCCCAACAACTCTCCGAGGCTATCAAGACGCTTGCTGCAGAAGCCGAGAACGACGGCAAAGGCGGCAGCGGCTTCGCCAGTGGAAGTGGCGGAAGTGGCAGTGGAAGCGGAGCATGGACAGGCGCCAGCTTACCACGTGGGTACACCGATGTCACCGAGTCTGTCGATGTGCGCGGCCTCGACCTGCTCAATGCAGACAGCGACTTTGGAACCGTCCGGACGCTATTCGAAACATCACCGCCTTCCTCGCTGAACAAGGGCAAAGGCACTGCAGCCAGCACAGAAGGAAGCAAGGACTGGGTTGAGAGCGATGTGGACAACCAGCTTATGCTCTACGTGCCCTTTACCGCAAATGTAAAGCTACACACCATCCACATCACTTCCTGCACCTCAAGCAGCGACGACGATGACGACGAAGCCCCCGTCCGACCAAAGACCATCCACGTCTGGATCAACCGCCAGCACAACCTGGGCTTCGAGGAAGCAGAAGACATCCCCGCAACCCAAGTCATTGAGCTCAAGCCCTCAGACTGGGACGAGCAAACGCAAACAGCCAAGCTTGAGCTCCGCTTCGTCAAGTTCCAAAACGTCTACTCGGTCGTCCTCTTCGTCGCCGATGCCGACGGCGACAGCGAGAAGACGCGCATCGACCGCATACGCTTCGTGGGCGAAACAGGCGAGAAGCGTGAGATGGGCAAGCTGGAGAAGATTGGTCACGACGATTGAAAACGACAAAACCTTCTCAATTGATAGACACGGGTTCCCAAAGTCCGATTCGTCTTTTGTGAGCGTTTCCATGTTTTCTTGATAGAGTAGACGTCAAACGAATAATGTGACATGCTTCTCTTCTAGAAGCAAGATAAAGAAAAGACATGTCTTCTAGTCTATACTCGCCATTCATAGCCTTTGAATCTAATCTAGGCCTGGTCTTGAGACTGTCTTGCACATCAGTCATACCTGATGACATGACATTGCATGTGTATATATGTATGTCCGCGCATCTGCTCGAGACCTCACTCACACAAGAGTAGTGTGAAGCCTGAGTAGCCTTGTCTCCAAGTGCAGCGCGTTTCAATTTAAGCATTTCTCGGCCCTTACTCTGCCATTGATAAGGGCAATAGAGTAGGAATTTGACATCCATGCTAGTAGTAATACTTCAACACCAACAACATTCACCATCACCACTGCTACGACATCACACCTCACACACACCATACAGCACTCGGACATGGTGTTTTGGCGTGAACCAATCGTCACATTTCATGATTTTGAGTGACACATGCTAGGTACGTTTAGGAACCGTCACTGTCCATTTGCCATACTCCGATAATCGTGCCATCCTTTTTGTGTATATAAGGTATGCTTTGTGACGTTCCGAAATCGTTGTGTCGAGCCGCCCGTTTGGGAAAAAAAGAGACCGAACACCCAGGGACAGAATCGGAAAGAAGGTCGCTCGTTTCGCCGTGTTTGCTACATCCACCGCACATCATGAAACCGTTTAGTGACCCGCGCGCCTCGACTCGGCAATGACCTTGGTCATCTCGTCGACCTTTCTCTTTGAGCGGCCGAAGGTACCGAGCTGTTGCTATGTCAGCGTATGTTCTGGGAGTTGTGTATTGGATCGAGCGGGTGGGAAAATCGAATCGTGTAGTGCGGCCATGGGCGAAGGGAAGACGTACCCTCTTCTTAGCCAGACGACGGGCACGCTTGTCCTTGGAGTTTCGGAGCAATTCAATGATGCGCTTCTCGTAGGGGGCAAGACTGTAAGACACGAGAATGTTAGCAACTTATTGCACAAGCAGTCGCGCAATCTAGTGCTCGACTAAACTCAAGAGTGCAACGTACCCAGCAACCTCCTTGGTGATCTCACGGACGAAAGCAGTGCGCTTGGACAGGAAACCCTTCCTCCTAGAGATCCTGGGAGCAGGAGTCCTTGGGGTGACCTCTGTTGGCCATTGTTAGCGTCCATCCAACAATTTTTTCCATCTCAGTTGTAGCGGTTCGGGAGTGTCGAAGGCGGGTGGGCGAAAGACGTACTGTGGCCGGCGTTAATGCCAACGATGAGGCCTGACTTTTGCTTGACTTCTTTCGGCATCGTGACGGTCGTGATGTTGTCGATTGTCGATGGGTTCAAGGTCGTAGTTTTGCGAGGGTAATTTTGGCTCGGCTGTGCGGTGGTGCCAAGATGGCGCTAGCTGTAAGCAGGCACGTGCCCTGGCTGGAGCTACCAACGGTAGGAACACCACACTCGAGCTCGAGGTCACCTCAGCGTGGGTCTTTTACTTTTTGGGCATGCATATCTTGACTATTGGGTTTCAAAAATTCAAAATTCGATTCCAAAGGGCTGTGAAGTCTTGCACGATGAACGTGTGCACTGATCCAGAGAAGTGGAGCGCATCTTATCGCGAAAGTCTCAGCACGCTCTCAGTGAATTGACCATCCATGATTTCTCAGAAATCACAAGTCCATGTAATCATTCCATTTCAAGACAAACATGTACAAACTACAACTTTGCCTTCTCCTTCGCCTCTTCCTCCTCCTGCGCCTTAAGCTTGAGCACCCTCCTGAGGATCTTTCCGCTTATAGACTTGGGAATCTCATCCACCCACCTCACACCGCCCCTCAGCCTCTTATGATGCGCCACCTTTGTGCTCAACCAATCTATAATTTCTTTTGCGTCTGCGTCGGTCTTGCCGAGACCATCTTTCGGTACAATGTAAGCCCTTGGAAGCTCTGTTGCGTCATCTTTGCTGTACACGCCTATTACTGCCACGTCGCTAGAGGAAATTATTAGCAAGAATACGATGTGGAGTATATCGGCAAAACATACTTAACCTTCGGGTGAGAAACTAGAATACCCTCAAGTTCTGCCGGTGGCACTTGGAAACCCTTGTACTTGATGAGTTCCTTGACACGGTCTGTAATGTAGAAATTGCCATCCTTGTCTTGATATCCAACGTCACCAGTCTTGAAATACCCGTCGGCTGTCTTTGCGTGCGCGGTTCCGTCTGGGTTGTTCAGGTATCCCTTGAAAACGTTCGGACCCTTGATCCACAACTCTCCAACCTCGCCAACGGCCATCTCTTTCTCATCAGGAGACATGTACTTGGCTGTCTGATAAGGCAACAGTTTGCCAACTGAGCCAATCGTCTTGTTCCAGTCTTCCCATGGCTGAGTGTGTGTGGTAGGACTAGTTTCCGAAAGGCCATATCCCTGCTTTACGGGGATCTTTAGTCTATCATATACTGCATCTACAAGCTCTCGCGTAAGTGGCGCAGCTCCGGAGTTCATCATGCGGATCGTGCTGAGATCGTATTTGGATACCAGGGGATGCTTGCTCAGCAAAAGGACAATGGGTGGGACGACATAGGCGAATGTGATTTTGAGTTCTTGGATGAACCTGCAAAAATCCTCAAGGTCAAACTTTGGCATGACAACAAGCTGAAGACCAGAGAACAAGCTTTGGTGGATCAGACATGTCAGACCTGTGGATTGTTAGTAGATACTTCCTGGGTTCAATACAATGCGTCAAGCGTACCATAGATGTGGAAAAATGGCAAAAAGGCAAGGAGCTTATCCCCTTCGCCAGTCGGCCCTCCGGTAGGCTTCAGGTTCCCAGCTTCTCCAGCTTTAATCATCATTGTGTTGGCCACAATATTTCGATGGGTAAGCATGACGCCTTTTGGATGGCCCGTAGTGCCAGAGCTGTACACCAAAAATGCCAGATCTTCAGCTGGGTTGGTCGCCTTCGTTCTCCTAAATCTGGCACTTCCAGCCGTGTTGATAATACCTGTAAAGTGTTTCACTTTGAATGAAGGGTCTCTCTGGTCTCCCATGATAATGACTCTGTCTAGAGGCATTCCGACCTTCCTTGCAGCCTCTTGCGCATTTTTGATAAAGGGCAACTGTGTTACCAATCCCTTTGCGCCAGAGTCTTTGAGCTGGAAAGCAAGCTCATCGACCGTATAGTTCGGGTTGGCAGGCGACAGCACACCACCTGCCCAGTGACATCCCCACGTGATCGCTGGAGTGTCGATACAGTTAGGTGTGTACAAGGCAAGTACATCACCCTTCTGCCAGTCCCACAGTGCTTTCAAGCCTTTGCCAAAAGTGATAGCAGCATCCTTGACTTGTGCATATGTATACGAACGTGTGGTGTATGGGTCATAGTAGATTACTATTCAGCACCGTTAGCTTGGTGTTTACACAAACCAGGACGGTGATTGCGTATAAGATTACCCTTGTCATCCGCAAATGGCTTTTCTTTTCTCTCAAACAGAAACGCCCACTAGGAATGTCACCCGGACGTCAGCACATGGAGCCAGGATGCGAGCTTATTCCCGGGGCGGGAAGACACTCACAAGATCCACATCTGGGATAGGCAAGCTTGGGTATTGGCTCTCCGAAGGCATCTTGGCAATCCAGTTCAATTTGATGATGTGCTACTCGGCTTACCGTAGGCAACGTTACGGAAGAAACAGGATGTGAAGTGGAAGGAAGCCAAAACGAGAAAGGCAGACGCGTTCTACATAGGACCTCGGGCAGAACGCCCTACGGTCGGAGGCGGCTTGTCAAGGGCGTGAGACGATGTCCGAGCCGGGGTTCACCCCACATCCGGGGAGTGCCAGGGCCGAGGCTCTTTCCGCTTTTGGTGTTAGCGCAGAGATAATAGCTGCGCGCTTCCGAGGTCTTCATTGCGGTGTGACGTCCATCGTGAGTGTTATCTGATAATATCAACACTACCCATGCAAAGGGCGCCGAGACATACACACTCAGTTTAACGTTTTACACGTCGCCATTATGCCGGGTTGGCGCGAAGCTACCGCTGTGCAGAAGCTCTCCACAAACACCTACTCCTGTACACTGCATGATGATTGGTGCATCGGAACTGGTATGTACAGATCCGACATACCCATCAAAATGAGGCCATTCTTACTGATATGCGTAGTCCCAAACGGTGGATATGTTACTGGATGGTAAGAGAACCTTAAAAACGCGCATACGCGTCCACTAACCAAACCATGTCAGCCTCCTCGAGGTAGTCAAGGCACATTTCAGCACTACCTTGTCGGCACAAAACCAACCCCACACAATCGCCCTGCATGTGGAGTTCCTCCGACGGACCCAAGTCGGGCCAGCAACCTTCACTGTCGACGATGTCAAGCTCGGTCGCCAGACCTCCATCGTGCACGTGAGCATGCAGCAGGATGGACGACAAGAAATCGTCGCCTACGTAACCAATTCCAACATGGACACGGAATCCGGAGTCTCCTACGACACAGAGTACCAGCTCTCGCCCCCGATAGCCTGTGTCGATATCTCGAAGCTAGAAAAAGGCGAAGATCCGTTGTGGGAACGACAGGCTGAAATGCCATACGCCAGCTTCCGCAAGGCGACAAGCAAAGTCCTATTCCACTTCCCACGGCAAGGCCATCCTTCCGCAAACACTGCAGACGAATGGCTCTGCTTTTCAGACGGCACTAATTTTAACGACTCCTCAATTGGATTCGTGGCAGACATGTTTCCGCAGCTTGTGGAGAGGTTCAAGGAGAAGGGCACAGGCCCGTTCTGGTACCCGACTTTGCTGCTGAATCTCGATGTCAAGAAGTCGCTGCCGCCTGAGGGCGTCAAGTGGCTGCGGGTCAGGGTGGAGATGAAGAAGGTTTCCAACGGCAGGATGGACATAGAGGTATTTGTACACGATGCTGAAGGCGAGTTGGTGGCTCTGAGCCATCACGTGGGACTTGTTGTGGACGCTAGTAGGAACACGGCTGCGAGACGGGTCGGCGATGCCAAGATGTAGAAGTGACGTAGGCTGTAGGCACAGGAACCGATTCATAGAAACATGACGAGCGGTAGATGTGATTTACCATGGCAGCATGGGTCCCGTAGAATTGTATTGTAGAGTAATTTCAAGTCAAAAAGATAGACACACAGTTGGTTAATAGCTTGAATGTTTTTTTTTGATTGTTCGAAATTGGCATGCATCCTGCAGTAATTGAGGCCCTTGGATGTAGACAATACACGATTATGTATTTTTCACTCTCTTTTTCAAACACCAATGATGCCATGCACACGGTATCTGTCGCACCCCAGCAGTACAATTCCACGCTCATATGTATTCTGTCGACAATCCAATCAGAAGCACTTATTTACCCTTGGGGTTGTTGTACTGCTGCTGGTAGAACTTCTCAGGCCAGACAGGCTATAGCACGGCGTATTAGCTTTTGTCTCCACACACGCTCCATGTCTCATGAGATAGCTCACCTCGCTCTGCTGGTTGCTAATGTTTCCCTTGAAGTACTCTGAGTCAGGGCCCTTGCTGGGACCACCGTGTCTTCCGTCGTTGGCCGTCGAGCTACCTGCAAATGTATGTCAGTAAATTATGCGTTGATTTCCAGATGGTCAGTCTGGGGCTCCAAAGTACCCGTACCGCGCTGGCTCGCAACAGCGGGAGTATGTGTGGACGAGGCGCCGCCGGAGGAGAAGCGATCCTCGATGTTCTGCACGCCCTGGGTCTTGTAGGGGTTGGGGAACCAGTATTGGCGCATGTAGAGGTAGTAGCCGAAGCCGACAGCACCGCCAGCCATGAAGATTTTGGGCACGGAAAGAGGAGACATGGTTGCTTGTGTGCTTTGGTATCTGTCTAGTCGCACTGGTACGGGTGGGGGTGTGGTGGTGGAAAGATGTGATGTAGGCGCGTGATATTTTTTTGGGAATGTCAAAAGGTGAGCAAGTGAGGTCGGAATGCAATTGAAACTTGGGTTTGGGGTTTATTCAAGAAATAGGGCAGTTTTTTAGACTGTGGAGACAGAAGCAAATAGTGCAACCAGTCCCGAGATCTGGGCGACTCTTCTATCCCGTCAATTCATATACCCAGTTGCACGCAACGGGGAGGCGTTGTGTTTGTGTCGCGATGATCGCGTCATGGCTGCGTACTTTGGGCAAAGCTTCCTTCCGAGGACACTCAGACCCACTCTCGCCAGGCACTGCTGTGCCACACCTCTGCTCGCTGACGTAATGCGCCTGCGGCTCAGCGCTGTGGCTAGTGTCTAATTTTAGTTTGCTTGGAGAGCCCTTGGGGGAAGTGGACACGCTATCTTGCGTGGAGAATTGATTACCTTACCCCCTTTGCGCCCACGCGACCGAGGGTTCTTAAGAAGAGACAGGATTGAATTCGGCGTGGACACTTTGTTGAACGAGCTTCATGACTGCTCGACACAAGAAAAGCTGGGACGCAGCCACGGCCACTACACTCTACGCGCAATCGAGATATGGACGGTGATCCTGCCATCGAGCCGGAAATCGATGGCTTCACTCGGATCCTACCCTTACCATACCGCGTCGCTCTCATAATTGTGCTTGGTATGCATAGCCCTGTTAGCGATTGGTTGTCACCCGGCCTTCTGCTGCCCTTCCCATACCCCATCCCTCCAACGTTGCTCGCGACTGACAACCTCCACAGGCATATGGGCATGGGGCCTCAACCTTCACTACCTCTCCCTCATAAAGATCGACGTCCCCTCTCTAATCCGCTATCCATCGCGTGCCTCGCCACACCACCCACCGCATCACCTCTCCTGCTACCGTATCGCAACTTTCCTCTCCATCCCTCTCGTCCTCTCGCTTTTCCTTTTCTGGGCGATTACCCACGGTAGCACCAAAGCCATTGCAGATTGGGAGATCCTTCCAAACCTCTACCTACTCGTCCTTGTCATAGGCTTCATCGCGCCAGTGCCTTTTGTCAGCCGCAGTGGACGCTCGCGCACACTCGCAACGCTGAAGCGCATCAGCATTGGTGGCATTGCCGAAGCGCAAGATGGCAAATTTGGGGACATTTTGCTTGCAGATGCGTTGACAAGTTATGCCAAAGTCCTTGGTGATTTGTTCATTTCATTATGCATGTTTTTCTCGTCGGGACAACGCTCCACTGCCGCGCCTAACCGCAACTGCGGTGGAACTTTCTGGGTCCCCTTTATCATTGCGGTACCCTACCTGATCCGCTTTCGGCAATGCATCACGGAGTACTACCGCGTCAAAAGAGGAAATGAGCGTACCGGACAGATCAATCCGAGCACCGGTTGGGGAGGCACGCACTTGGCCAACGCAGCAAAATATTCCACTGCGTTCCCGGTCATCATCCTCAGTGCATTGCAGCGATCACCCGACCCTTCGAGCCTCGGCGTCTCAGAAGCCACTCTCTATCGCATGTGGCTCTTTGCTGTCATTGTGAATTCTGGCTACTCCTATTACTGGGATGTAGCCAAAGACTGGGATCTGACACTCTTCTCCAGTGTCCGCACCCGAAATTCGCCCGAATATCCCTGGGGCTTACGCCGTCATCGCTGGTTCCATGCAAAAGAGTTTTACTATGCTGCCGTTGTGGTGGATGCCTTGCTGAGATGTACATGGAGTCTGAAACTCAGTGTCCACCTCGACCACTTCAATGATTTGGAAGGCGGCATCTTTACGATGGAAGTGCTCGAAGTGTTCAGGAGGTGGATATGGATCTTTTTTCGTGTGGAGACTGAGTGGGTCAGAAACCACAAGGGCCCGGCTCCCGACGATGTTTTACTAGGGGATGTGGGTGCAGGGAACAGGTATGATGATGATAGTGACTAGACGTCTAATCAGTCTTCGTACTGGTCCATGTTCACTGCTGCACACTTCATGTACTGTTATCTCAAAAGGGCAACTCCATCCTCTAGGCGGAACAACGGATATTATCTATAGCCTAATTCCCCATCGCATCGCCTATTTTTACCAGGTTTCCGTCGCTATACGAAATCAAGTCTGCACGAATTGCATACCACATTGGGCCTAGCGTATCTCACCATGCTACCTCAACCATTTGAGTTGCAGCCAGTTTTTTTTAGGGCGCACTACGAGTATTACTCGATCCTTTGATTACTTCGGCAGATTTCATTGTTACATCCTTAGCTCGGCACCTTACCAGGAGAGTGCTTTATCCAACCCGTGATTCATTAGTCACAGCACTAGGACTACCAGTACGATGGTGTTCCGCGGAATTCCCTCTAAGGCCTGCGAAAGGTGCAGGAAGAGAAGATTACGTGTACGCTCCGCATAGAATTATTACTGTTCAGAGCTTAACTTGACCCTAGTGTGACCTACAGCGCCCCCATTGCAGCTCGTGTGTACGCGTGGGAATAGCATGCAGCGGATATCGAGATACCTCCGAGTTGCGGTTCACTGATGAATCTGAGCTAGTTAGGAACAGATTCCTAGCAAAGGCTAACAACGAAGATATTACACGGCAGAACCTGGGCACTGATGGCATACCCAAAATCAAAGTCCAGCACCTACCTCAAGACCTACAGGTCATCAGTCGCGACATGTTCTTTAGGTACTACGTCTCGGATTTTGGCCGGACATGGGGTTTTCTGAACGACTATCTCGACTCGCCCAATTCCCCTGCCCATATCACACTCGGCATCGAGGCAGTCAGCCTGGCATTCCTATCCCATCAGGTTTCATCACAGACGGCGCGGAATCTCGGACGCAGAAAGTACTGCGAGGCACTCCGCAGCATCAATACATGGCTCCAGACACCGGGCGCAGCACAGGCAAAGTCCACGTTCGAAGGCGCACTCCTCCTCGACCTCTTCGAGAAACTCTCCAAATCCGCCTCACCCATCGGAGACGACAAGCACACGCACGTTGCAGGCGCATTTGCGCTTGTCAAGCTTAGGGGCGTGGAATCCTTCACGGAACAGGAGATAGCAGCAGTGACAGGCCTGTCTTTAAACGGCACACTCACCGCACTGAGCACAGGCAGAGCAACAGACACGATCATCCGCCAGATACGCCACCACGCTACCCAGTTCCTCGACATTTCCGACCCCAAATGGAAGCTCACAGGCCTCATCCTCGAAGCCACCGACCTAGCCGCTTTAGTGATACACGGCACTATAACCTCCACCGACAAAATATCCAGAAACATACATTTAGACACCGAACTCGCCGCCATCGCCGAATCCGCCTCCCCCTTCTGGACCTACACCTCTCACCCCTTCCCAAACGCCGACCCCAAAGGCGCCCTCCCAGCCGGCCTCCCGCCAACCTACACCATCTACCCCTCTCGCACCATAGCCCAAATGTGGAACGTCCTCCGCCTAACCCGGATTCTCCTCTGCGAAGAAATCCTCGCCTCTCTCCCCTCTCTCCCTTCCTCCTCCTCTTCGAATCCCGCCCTCCTAACCGCCGAAAGAGCCCAAATCACCATCGACCAGATGACGAGCGAAATCTGCGCCTCCCTGCCCCACATGACACACTGCTCGTATGCGGCACGCCACAAGCTTCCGGGAGGCGAAAACCCGCACAAACCGCACACGCACACGGTCCCCCACACGCTCGACGTCTACGTCATGATCTTCGCCATCTACGTCGTCGCTTGGGCGCCGCACGCGCCCCGGCATACACGCGACTGGGGCCTCGCTCAGCTCGAAAATATGGCCACGCACTTTGGCAGCCAGGAGGCCAGCGTCATCCTCGACGTCTTGCAGCGCCAGCGAGAGGGCAAGATGAAGAGTACCAGGTGCGTTGCTCTGCGTTGTGTTTTCTGCTTGTTCTTCTCCTGTGTGAGCTGGGGCTGATTTTGTGGGTTGTTTTTTTTTGACAATTTTAGGACTGGGAGTGCGCTCAGGTATCCTGATAGTACGGCGTTGACCCTCGGTTTGCCGATTGATTGGTATATGGGGCCGGGGGATTTCGCATCTAGGGCTGGGTGAGGACAATGGGATACGAAAGGGGGGGGAGTGAGTAGGGAATAACATTAGGTTGCATCAGGCAGGGTTAAAAAGGGAATGCCAAGGTATCAGATGGAAATGGAATTGCATAGCGTAGGTAGGGGAGTTTTTGGGTGGGGAATGGGCATAATAGGGGGTGTGGATTCAACAGGTATATGGCGAGCGGCATGAGAGACAAATAGACGAATGCATGAACAGTGTAGTTTGTTGACATCCATACTTTATCACCGGAACGCGGATAGATTAAAGTGTCTGTGTTGAAAAGGGGACAGACCTCATCTCTGACAGAGAAAATAACATCATCAGCAAAATGGGCAGTAGAACAAAACGGTAGAAGCAGTGTAATGTTTGATTCGTATTAGCTTTTAGACATCTCCCTTTTCCTTCTCCCTCCTTGCTTATCTTCTTACACCACCATTCCCCCCCTCCGCCCACATCCTCATCACCACCCCTCATTAACCCCGAAATGGACATGAAATTTTTCCCTTTGCAAAAAAAGCAAATTCCTCTTAGTGGCCTGAACCCCCTCAAAAATCGAAGAGGGGAGGCGCCAATGAATCAAAAGAGAAAACGAGAAAAAAAAAAGGACAAAAACAAGGCAAATGGCAAGCGCAACCATCGCCGCCGCCATGGAATACAGTACCATCGCATGGTCTGTGCTGAAAATTCTAATGTGGGTTGAAAAGAGATGACAAAAAAGGGAGTAATATATAAACAGGTATGCAAAGTAGAGTACAGAGCAGATCGGGCGTGATGGGGGAAGGAGCAGCGTTGAAGCACTTAATTGACGAGCGTTGAAAAAAGGGTGACGAAGGTGTGTGCAATGGCAGAAGGGGGAGGAGGTAGTGTTGATAGAAGACAAGAGAGGAGGGGAGTATGTACCGTTTGAAAGTCTTTAATTAAGGAAGCCCTTGCAACCGATTGAGCCGCAGAGACAAGGAATACGATCCGTGGCGTCAATTTCACGCTCGAATTTGTAGTCGTAGGTGAGTTCCTCGTCTAGAGAGTTGGGTTAGTATAATTGTCTTGAGAAAACCAGAGTACGGAGGAGATAAAACTTACCAGACTGAATATCCCTCAACGCATAAATGACAATACGCTTGGTGTTGTCAACGCGGATAATCTTGGCTGTGCAGTTGGGCGTGCAAGAGTGATTGATAAAACGAGCAATACCACCCATCTTTGTCGCATCAATGACTGTATCTTCATCGATTCGGAACAGGTAGCTTGATCCCACGCCTTGCATGTCGTACTTGGCTTCTCGAAGATCTGCCACACGCTGTCGGACCTTTTCACCAACGTACTCGATAATCATGTCGTTAACGGCAATCGGTTCTTGGGCGTACAGACCCCAGTTGTGAATGGCTGAACGGTCAAACTTGACCAACTTCTTGCGCTTCTTGAGCTGATTGAAGCGGAGAGCATCGCCCTCAGCGCCAGAAAGGTTCTTGGATATATTGATGTCGTTGACCATACGGCGGTTGTTGGCACGGTTGGCACGCGAGTTTGCAGTCGACGCCTTGTTGGCACTCGTCTGGAATTTGAAACCTTCGACCGACACGACGCTTCGCTCTTCTTGCTTGGCACGGCGTTGGCGTTCTTCGCGCTCCTTTTGTACGCGGATACGATGAGGTAGGTATTTCGATTTCTCAGATTCGCGAATCTTCTTGATGCCTTCTGTACGAGCTGAGCCAGTCACGTTGGGAACATAGTATCCTTCGATCTTGGTCTCGGTGCGGGAAACGCCCTCCTGGCCATTGCGGTTGAGATGCTTGATGGACTTTTGCTTCCAGGCCCACGATTGAGCATCTCCGATACTGGCGGGAGCGATGGACTCAACTGCTTGCTTAAGAAGACGCAGATCTTCTTCATCCTTGAGCAAATGCTGCCAACCATCAATGTCCATGACAACACTGAAGTCGTCATCAACCGTCTTGCGAGGTATGTCATGAGATACGCTCCAGCAGACAGAAGAGGCCCGCTCATCTTGCTCTGGAGTAGTTTCCTCAACTACCACCTCTTCAGCAATCTCCGCAACCTCCTTGACTTCAGGCGCCTCCTCTTCCGCAGGTACTTCGATCTCCGTGACTTCCACCTTTGCAGCCTTTGCTTCCTCTTGAAGTTGCTTCTTGGTCTTTCTCTTTGGCTTGGCAGCCTTCTTCTTGAGCGATGTTAGTGTTTCGGGAAGTTCGGTTGTCTCGATGGACTTCTTTGCCTCTTCATCTTGAGTGATAATCACTTCAGGCTCCGTCTTGTCCATCGGGCTTCCTTCGACACCAAAGATTACGTCTGCCTCTTGTTCAATCTTCCGCAGCCTCCTGAAACCCTTGAGGGCTTTGTCAGCCTTCTTCCAGATAGGTGATGAGCGAGGGAGAATTGCGAGAACCTGTTCCAGCTCTTTCTCTGCCATGTTTTCAGGGTCTTTGTGAATACAATGAGCAAGCAAACTTCTTGCGTGCGAATCGTCCATCTCCTCATCGCTGTCTTCGCCCCAGCCAGTCTCAATACGACGTCGCTTGGCACGGTGAGCTCTTGACGACTCTTCCACTTCATCTTCGATATCCGTAGAAGGAGCTCGGCTGATAGGTCGGCTCTCTTGCTCCTCAGTGCCGCGTGTCAGCTGGCTGCGGTTTTCGTCATCCGATTCTTCTGGCTCAAACATTTCAAGCATCTGGCGATGCAAACCACGAGCCACGCGAGGCTTGGGCGCGGATGCCTTTCTTCGCTCATCGGCGAACGCATTGACAACCTTCGGAGGTTTCTTTCCACGTCTCGTACTGGGGTCATAAGCACCAAATCCTCTACGCCCACCACGGCCACCAAGGCCTCCATTGCGACCTCTCGGAGTACCTGCACCGAAAGCATCGAAGCCTGGAGCGAGCAGCGCTGGGGGTCGAACATCCTCGTCCTTCTTGGGCGGACCTGGAATGTTGTACTTTCGGCGCTTCTCGACGTGCAACTCAGGATCTAGTAGCTCAAGTATTGTAGGTGCGGCAAGTTTAGTCTTGATGTCTCCAAGAAGCTTTTCCTGCAACTCCTGCTTCAGAACATCCAACGCAGCCCGTACAGGGTCCAGCGAGTCTGCCCTCTGCTTCTTTTCCCATTCCAGGTCCTCCGCCTCTTCCTCTTCTATTCGCTTCTCCATGGCCTTCCGCTTCTTATCGGCAATTACACGCTCGGGACTAGGGCTTCGCTCGTAGTTGGGATCGCCATATTGGTTGCACTCCATGTTCATGACATACGTAAACAAAGCCTGCATGTGGCACTCCTTGTAACATCGAACAGTCTCGTCCTCGCCGCGCTTCGATTCCTCAAATGTCACATAGTAACCTGTTTGGTCGCATCGTACCGCAGACCACCGAAAGTTTTTTAAGCGCTTCTTGAGATGTTCAATCGTGGTGCTTAGAACAGGTACGTATGCGTGTGCGATGAATATATAAGGCTTTCGTTTCAGCGTAGGTTTGATCGGCTCTCGTTCGATGAGGTACGAAAGTGCTGCCTTTCGTGTCAACGGTTCCCGCATCATCGGCATCGGTGGACGAGCGCCCTTCCCCGAGGGTCCCTTTGGAACATTGGCTGGCAAGTCAAAGTTTGCGGGACCGGTGGGTGCCATGAGGCTGGCTGTTTTCGTAGCATGCTTGGCTCGGAGCTTCTCTTCTTCTTTGCGGCTTTGTTGCACTGCTACATCCACCAGTTTTGAACATCTTCGACCCTCGCGATCCGATTGCACCTTGATCGTGTGCTGGGCAAGGCGCTGGTTCGTGCCTTCTCGCTCAGCTCTTTTTGCCGAGGCACTGGCTTTCATGCCGGGAGTGCCACGACCGGGCGGAGTGTCGCGAAATTTAACCAGACATATTCCAAGTGGGCTGCCATTGTCGGGATGTACTTGGTTGTGCACAGTCTCTACCTCACCATAGGCGGAGAAGAAACTGCGGAGCTGGACATCTGGAGTCAGAGGATCAAATCCTGTGACAACCACTTGGGTCGCAGGTCCCGGACCGCATGATATGCGCTGGTCGAAAGAGTAGGGCTTGGCTACATAGGGCGCTATCCTGAGTTTCGACTTCGGGGCACCTGTGAACGAAGTCTTAATGACATAGTTCCCAGTGGTATAGCCGGCAATGGCCAGGCGTGGGTCGGGAGGAGGAGATGCGTCGCCCTGTAACACAAGTCAAGTTAGCCTTAGCGTCACAGGGCGACCACATCTATGTGTGTATGTATATGTAGCCTTCACGTACCTTGTCCAGTATTGTGCTGTATTTCGCCGTTCCCTTCGCCCTCGCCCGCCTATCGAGTTTTGGGTCAAGCTGTGCGTCGTAGGTGGAGCGCTGGCCCAGCACGCCGTCGGCCGGGAAGACGGATCTGCGTGACTCGGGCGGAGTGTTTATGGGTGTGATGGTGTCGGCGACATTGTTGGATGCGCTCGATGGGGCGGCGCGTAGGGAGGATGAGGTCGCGTGCATCGTCTCATGTGAGAGCTTGGAAGACCGCGGGCTGGGCAACTTGCCAGGCGGAGAAGAATCTGAGCTGGTCAAGGGTGTGAGGGCGTGCAGTGAATTGTTGTGACCAGAGCGCGACATGGTCCAGGGGGCGCAGGATATGGACGAGGTAAGCGTAGGGGTGGAGGGATTCGAGTCAACGTCGTCTAGCAGATAGCTTGGGCGCTGCGCATTGTTTCTGGGCAAATCTGTATTTCTTGTCCCCAGGGCCGCGCGTGTTCCCCACGGTCTTCGCCACGGTACTCAAAGGCGGGAGTAAGGAAATAAGTGAACTGGCGGCACAAAACTAGCTGCCGCAGTCACCTGTCGTCTTTTTCGCCGCGTAGTATTACTAGCATAGACCTTGTATCGAGAGGCAGTTTGTGGCCACGCCGCAAGAGCGCACCTCAATCCCAATCGACTTTGTGTATCAGCACGTATATGCTCTCTCCATGCTGATATGACGGCGAGTGATGGACGAGAAGTGGGTTGAGGCGCTGCGAGTTGGGTGTACTCGGTGCAGCTGCAAGCCTGCAACAGGGTTGTATGGAACAACGCGCACCCGCGTACTGAGGACGTGTCAGGAGGGCCGGACGGGGGCGGGAAAGAGGAAAAGAAATGAAAAAGACAAGCGGACGAGATGGGCGATCCAGTCCACAGCGCTCCGCTCACACAGATGGGGCTTGTATTGAGTGAAGGTGGTCTTTGAGGAATATGAGGTTGCAAGGTGAGGTTGCGGATCCTGGCTGCCAAGCTAGCGGCCCATAGGAGAAAAGGAGAGTGCTCTTGTTGCCAACCATCCTTCATCATCTCGACTGCCCTCTTACAACGCACCTTTACGGCACAGCCATCACGGTCGCATAAACTCCAGCACCAGAACCCGCCTGCAAATGTCACCCAGAGACTGAATTTCGCATCTGCGCAGCAAACTGTGCCAAAGCACGTCCCGCCCGTTGCCAACTCTGACAGCGTCATCGCGATCGCCTTGCGCCGGTTGCCACACTAGCACTGCCACATGTACGCACACCCTGGCTCGGAGACATCAACACTGCGTGACACGGAAGAAGCAGTCGAAAGGCTGGAAGGAAGACACCAGCTGAGGATGCTATCTGGGCCTGTTCTGGGATGAGACTATAGAGGCCTTACGCCATATGCGCGTGGTTTATAAAGACTGGCTCGTGACTGTACATGTACTAACATGCCTTGGTTCTTGCGAGGACCAGGAGGACCAGGCGTAGAAAAAAACGCCAACACCGGAACTAGCATACCAGAGACTACATGAACATTGCCCAAGGACAAATTCAAAGTTCGCAATATGTCAGAACATAATATGCACAGCTGCTACAATGGAGTTTGACCTTATCTGTCAGCAATTGGGATATGTCCATGCTTGTGTCACAAATGGCTCTTCATTTTTTGGGAGCATGTACCAGCAGGCTTTCTCTGCGTGTGTCCAGCTCTTACAAACTATGCGCATCTTTTCCACCCACAATACTCTATTCGATAAACTTGCCCTCAACCCACCCCTTCCGCTTAACACCCAGCTCGACCGCTGCGCTCCCCCAGTCTTCACCATGGTTATGTCCAGACTTGCCGTCGCTTCCGCCAATTCCCGCTCTCATGAGTCCTTGCTCGTCGCTCAATAGCGTCAGCAGCCCAAAGATGACGGGCACGTTGTTGTCCAGCTGCAGCCTCATGAGTCCGTGGCTGACAGCGTCGGCAATGTACTCAAAGTGCATAGTCTCTCCTTTGATAAGCACGCCAATGGCGATTATAGCGTCAAAGGGCTGGTTGGATACTTTGGCAGCTGACTGTCCGGTGAGCGCGGTCAGGTCAGATGTGGAGCCAAGGAGGTCGGCTGCTGCGCCTACGATGCCTGTGTTGGAGGATTGGATCTGAGATGCCGAGTATAATCTGTTGAAGTGACTTTTAGCTTGACCTTTCCTTTTCCTTCCTTTTTTCTCTCTCCATGATCCACATACTGCTTAACGGCATACGGCAGCTCGTAGCTCCCAGGCACATCCTGCACAACGATATTCTCGTCCTTGACACCCGCTTCCCTCAGCTTCTTCCTTGTGCCCTCGAGTAGCGCGTCAATGATCTTGGTATTCCATCGTGCGTGGACGATGCCAATGCGCAGTCCAGAGCCTGTTCATATCGTGTCAGCATGGAGCTCCCAAAGCGGGTGAAGAGTGTAGTGGTGGTGGGGGCGGGGTTGGCGTTGACATGCCAAAGGGTACGGACCATCGTATGTCTTTGGTGCACCGGGACCTTTGAGGGATGTCATGGTAAAATTCCGTATATATTCAAGTGTATGTAGCAGAAGTCAGGAGGCTGAAGAAGTATGCGCAGGCAGCTCTGGAATCGTCGGGGTATTGTAAGCTTGGCCTTGGGAGCGGGTTCAAGGATGCAGGAACCGGCGCACTACCATGAGGCTGCCCCGCAACCGAAAGGCAGGGATCCCCAATTCTGACAATGTTGTCATCGGACCAGGGGTGTGAAACGCCGTGCCGTGACTAGACCCTCACCGACCCATGCGAGCACCCACATCACCCTGCCATAGACGCAATCCGTACCATATTTACTACACATGAGCAAAAGAGAAAAGGAGTAGTTAATGAAGAGATTTTGTGTTCATTTCTTCTAGTACCACAAGCTGCGCAAAACGCATCGCTCTGCATCCTAGATATCGTAAAATTCAATGCCATACACATAAGCTACGTCCAGAGCTTCCGTTCATAAATCCCACATCTAGTCCAAATCCCAAATGATACACAGCTTCTCTAGCCCAGAGAACGCCATGTAAACTACCCAAACGCTTGCTTACTCGACAGTCACAGACTTGGCAAGGTTACGGGGCATGTCAACGTTGACACCCTCGGCAACCGCCATCCAGTATGACATGAGCTGCAGAGGAATGACGTTGATGAGACCCTGGAGAACATCAACGTTCTTGGGCACCTCGATCTTGTCAGTCTTGTCAGCAGGGAACTCGGGGTCGTTCTCGTTGCAGATGATGATTGGACGGCCGCTACGGGCAATGACTTGCTGGTATGCGTTGAGCGACTTGGCAAAGATGTCGTCCCGGGTCAGAATCATGACAATGGGTAGGTTCTCGTCGACCAGAGCCAAGACGCCGTGCTTGAGCTCTCCAGACATGACAGCCTCGCAGTGGAGGTACGAGATTTCCTTGATCTTCAGGGCACCCTCAAGCGCAGTGGCGTGCTGGGAGCCACGTCCGAGAAGGAGCAGAGACTTCTGGTTCTTGAACCTCTCGCAGAGCTTCTTGATGGGCTGGTCGAGCTTGAGCACTTCCTTGAACTGGTCAGAGATCTTGCCGAGACCCTCGACAATCTCCTCGCGCCTCTTCTGCTTCGAGGCACGGTCCTCACTGAGCGACAGGGCAAACATGACCATGCAGACGAACTGCGAGGTGTAGGCCTTGGTGGAGGCAACACCGATTTCGGGACCGGCGTTGATGTGGACACCACAGTGGGTGAGGAGGGAGATGGAGGAACCGACAGTGTTGACAATACCAACAGTCAGGGCACCACGCTCCAGGCAGTAGCGGAGAGCACCGAGAGAGTCGGCAGTCTCACCGGATTGCGAGACAAAGACGCAAGTGTCGTCACGGAAGACGGGTGCTTGGCGGTCGAGGAAGTCAGAGGCCAACTCAACGGCAATGGGGATCTCGGTAAGCTCCTCAAAGACACCACGAACAGCCATGCAAGAGTGGTAAGAAGTACCGCAGGCAATGAAAATGATCCTCCTGCATCGCCTGATGGTGGAGATGTACTGACGGAGACCACCGAGTGTGACGGTCTTGTTGACAGGGTCGAGACGTCCACGCATGGCGTTGACGACGGACTCGGGCTGCTCGAAAATCTCCTTTTGCATGAAGTGGTCGAAGCGGCCCTTCATGATCTCCTGGAGCTGGATCTCCAGAGTCTGAATGGTACGGACGTTGGAGGATCCGTCATCCTTGTGCAGGCGGTGGATGTTCAGCGAGCCCTCGTGGATGTGTGCAATGTCGTCATCCTCGAGGTACAGAACCTTCTTGGTGTGCTCGACAATGGAAGATGGATCGGAGGAGAGGAAGAACTCGGTGGGCATTGGGGCACCGTCGTCCGAGAGGAAAGCGCGGGATTGCGATCGGTGGAGGAGCGACTTGTCTGGGGGAGCGAGCAAGTTGTTCGACTTCTTCAACGCAACGTTGTGGGCGGCGCTCTCAGCGGGGAGAGCAGCACCCTCATCGTTGTACTCGACATCGACAAAGTCGACCTTCATCTTCTTCTGTGTTCGTACACCAATGACAAGGGGAGAACCCTTGCGGGCAGCCACAACCTCATGGGGGTAGTGGACAGACTTGACAAGGAGACCAAAAGCACCCTGGAGCTCCTTGATGACAGCCTTGACGAGCGATGGGAAGCTCAGGTCTGGGTGCTCGTTGTAGATGTACTTTGTGAGCTTAGCAATAGCCTCAGTATCCGTCTCCGTCTCGAACTTGAAGCCCTTGCTCTCGAGCAGGGTCTTGAGTTCCTTGTAGTTTGTGATGATACCGTTGTGGACGACGGAGAACTCCCAGTTGGGGTCAGACCTGGAGGTGGGGCGTCAGCACGAGCAGAGTGCAGTGGCGGGCCTGAAGGGTGCATTGAGCAGCCAGACAAGACAAACATACCTGTGGGGATGGCAGTTGACACGCGAGGGGGGACCGTGGGTCGCCCATCGTGTGTGGGCGATACCAGCGTGCGAGTCAAAGACCTTTCCGAGGTCGAAGTTCTGCTCCTCGACGAGCTTCTTGAGAGAGGCGACCTTGCCAACCTCCTTGACGGCGTAGACCTCGTTCTTCTTATCACCGTCGACAGCGAGACCAGCGGAGTCGTAGCCGCGGTATTCTAGGCGTTGCAGACCTGGACAGGGAGAAAAAAAAAGCAAAGGTCAGCCGTCGTCATTGTGAAACCCCGCCGTCCTCAACAGAACCAGACCCGTAGGAAGAGAGCTAGTGAGGACAGCGAATTGGGCGTCCCGCTTACCATTGATCAGTGTGTCGAGAATATACTTCCTGTCCTTCTCCACCAGGTAGTTGATGTAACCGAAGATTCCGCTGTTGCGAGGAGAGTGGTCAGCGGCAATGTTGCAATGTTTCCAGGGGCATGGCCTCTCTCTTTCTGTGCGTGTGCGTGTGCTGTGGTGGTCTACAGCTGCAGGGTGGGGGCAGTGGGAACTTACCACATGGCGAAGAAACGAAAGAGGAGAGTCGATTACAAATGGGAAGCGATTGTAGGGTTGTCGGTGGGGGTGAATTGGCAGCAGGGACAAGATAACGGGAAGGGGGAAAGGAGATGGTATGGACAGGATATGTGAGGAGAGAAAAGAGCGGTGGTGTGTTTGACTTATACGTCTCAAGCCAAGCACTGAGCAGCATGCCCCAGCGGCGCCCTTGTCCACTCCACCTTGCTAGTCTCGCCAATGCAGCGTATCGCACCCACCTGTAGCGCCGCTCTACCACGCCTGAAGCTCGTATACTCGACGAGCCTTGCGCAGCGGACTGACGATGCACGCCCGTCATGGGCCCTGTCCCATCGGGTTCCGCGACTGTTGCAGCGGCCAATGGGTGCACAGTCGCCCTGTTGCCGTTCCTGGATCGATCGCCTGCCATACTACCCATCGCTGCTCAGGGACCGCGAGGCGCAGCACCTCCAAAATAGAAACACTAACTCAACACTCGACCATTTTGCCCATCGATATGCTGGCAAATTCTCTGCTCAATGCCACTCAATACATCGTGTCCCTGACCTGACGCCTGCCAACCCCCAACTAGGGACTGCTTACGGGAAGCATTTCTAATTCGGTGGTAAGGCAATTGCTCGCCAATACAACCCCCCTATACACGACTCCTACATGCTACGTCAGCAGTACCGGGTTGCAGCTCCCGACATGGAGCTAAGCACGACGCATCAATCGGCTTGTCAATCACGTTCGATCCTTTGTTTGCTTCGACTCTGTGTGCTGGGACCGCGTGCATACCTACGTACATATGTATGTCTATGTATGTACAGTATATGTGTACACAGAAGAAAAAACAAACAGAAAAAAGTACAACGCAAGCAAAATAAACAAGGTGGGAACTGCCCTCAAGCTCATGTCCCACTAACGGCGGAGCTCTACCCGCGCTCCAGCTCTCCACCCACCCACTACCTTTTGGATACTAAGTTATGTACGTCCATCAGACGGTGAAGACAAAACCAACACCCATCCAACGTCTACAGCAGCCTGCATGTCTGTCCGGAAAGCCGCGCGCGAACCAAAAGCCGTAGAGCAAATCCAAAAGCAAAAAAAACAGCAATGTACACCTACTCTGGATGCAGATTGCAAAGTAAAAAAAACGCCACTGGGCGTTTATTGTTTTACCCCGCCACAGGGTCGAATCATCAGCTCCAACCCTCAACGTGCCCCCAGCTTGCCAACCCATTTCCCCCGTTGAGCAATTGGCAGCAAACACGGTGAGAAGAGCGAGTGCCATGTTGCCAACAATCTCAAGTTTCCCTGTTCCCGCCTAGCGCTGCTGGCGAGCCCGCTGCACGAGTGTATGGGATGAGCTAGACGAGGAAGGCGTGCCGGGTGGGGTGGGGGATGGAGGGGAGGGGGCATGCCAGACCGGCTCTTTTTCCACATGGTCCCAACCAAACCAGCGGGCGCCTCTCTCTTTCTCTGTCTGTCTGTCCCCTCCACTCAATCAGATTCTCTGCCCTTGCTCTTTGTAGATACGATTTGATCAGCTAAAAAAGGCCGGGTTCAAAGAGGCCACATTTCCTCTTTTCTTTCTACTCCCTTTCTTTGTTTTTTTTCTCTCTCTCTTGACTGACCGCCTTTGACCAAGCCGCCCCGCCAGCCCACTTTCGCCTCTCTCTGTATCTCACAACATCTCCCGTCAGAAAGGTGGCGCAAATAATCCCATCATCATCCTTTTCAGCCGCACCGCTCTCACATGCTTCCTCCATCTCACTCCATTCTCTTGGCACACATCTCTGTTTCAGCCTTGCAAGCCGCTTTTTTTCGATAAAGTTTGGGCCCTATTGTAATCCACATCTCGATCTTATCCATCATCCCCGTTTGCTCTGTGCTACTTTAAACCGTCAGCCCCACTGATGGGAAACGCTAGTGCTCGTATTCCCCCCCCCCCCTTCCTCCGAGCGGGTTTTTCTTACTACTACTATTCCACGAGTAAGTGATGGAAGTGAGGCTAGGCGTCTTGTGTATCCTTGCAGCTCCAAGTCGGGTACTCGGGCGGATATTTATCGGAGGAGGAATAAAAAGAATGGTGCTATACGAGGTTGGCACGTGACCGCTTGTGAGTATGCAAGTACTT